GCGGAGCTGAGCGGAGTGGAGCTGAGCCGAGTGCTGCAGAGCTGCTGGCCACAGGGAGCCGCAGGGAGGATCTCAGTGGGGGTGGGGGTGAGGGTGGAGGTGGGGGTGGGGGTGGGGTGGAAGGGGTGGCCACTGTCTCAGAAAGGGACACCTGGGCCTCACTTTAACCTGCCTCCCTGGCCCATAGAGTCTGTGCCTCCTGTCACTGCTAGCCAGAACTCCCCTCTTCCAGGAAGCCTTCCAGGTGTCCCTTGCTGGTCTCTCTAGGCCTGAGATCCCTGCAGCCACCACACACACACACACACACACACACACACACACACACACTTGCATGATCAGTTCCAAGAACTCCAGCCTGCACCTTTACAAGTGAACTCCCATGGGCTGACCCAGGGCAGACCTTCTAGCCCAGCTGTGGGCAAACTACGGCCCGCGGGCCAGATCCGGCCCATTTGAAATGAATAAAACTATTGAAAAAAAAGACCGTACCCTTTTATGTAATGATGTTTACTTTAAATTTATATTAGTTCACACAAACACTCCATCCATGCTTTTGTTCCGGCCCTCCGGTCCAGTTTAAGAACCCACTGTGGCCCTCGAGTCAAAAAGTTTGCCCACCCCTGTTCTAGCCCCTGCCCTAGGCCATGCCATCATGCTGAGAGTCCTGGCCGGCTGGGCATCAGGCCCGGGGGAGGACTGACTTGCCCAGTGGGATTGGAACTGACACGAGACATGTGGCTGTGGGACCCTCTGTGCTCCAGCCCTGTCCCATGGGGTGCTGCCCAGGTGAGGGGTGCTAGCAGGGTCACTCGGCCAGGCTTGAGGGGGTACATGGAGTGACTGGCATCCTCTCCATGGCAGGGTGGAGGCAGCCAGCCATGTCCCTGACCAACTGGGGCTCCTCTGGGGGAGGTGGGCAGGGCCTCACTCTGGGACGGCGCAACCAAGTCCTCAGCCCAGCTTCTCTGATGGGGCCACCCTGAGCTGCCCCTCGCTGGTGTGACCACTTCTCTGAGCCTCAGATCCTCACCGAAAAATGGGCAGACTTCCGGCCCTAACCAGATTGCCTTCCTGAGGGGCTTGACAACTCACTCCACGGCCAGGGCTCGGCTCACCGAATTGCTCACAAAGAGAAGCCGAAACGCTCTCACTGGAGAGGCCCAGGGAGGCAGGACTCACACACGGCAGATGTTCACCGGGGGACCCCTCACGGCGGGGTCTCCAGGGAGCTCGGCATGGAGGGCTAGGGAGGCCCTTGGACCTGGGGCTGGATGGCCCGGCTGCACCCTGTGTGTGAGAGTGGCTGGTGTGGCCAGTCCACAGAACGAGGGGCAGGAACCCGATTAGGGTGAGACCAGCACAAGGATCTGGGGTCACAAGTGGAAAGATGTGGTGGGCAGAGTCCCTTTTCAGCTCTTTGGGCGTTTTTGTTGTTGTTCAAAGTAAAAATGTGAGGAAAGCTCGTGTGTGTGTGTGTGTAAACTTGTTTTGTGTTGGTTGTGTGGGGGGGTGGTGTGTGTGTGTGTTGCATTGTGTGGAGAGGGGGTGGGCAGGCAGGGACTTCCTTGTGGCGGTGGGCTGGCTGAGACGGGGAGGAGGCAGAGAGGCTGGGTCTACCAGGGGTGGGCAAACTTTTTGACTCGAGGGCCACAATGGGTTCTTAAACTGGACCGGAGGGCCGGAACAAAAGCATGGATGGAGTGTTTGTGTGAACTAATATAAATTCAAAGTAAACATCATTACATAAAAGGGTACGGTCTTTTTTTTTTTGGTTTATTCATTTCAAACGGGCCGGATCCTTCTGCTGCTGCAGGGCCTTCAGGTCACGACCCACAGGTTGAGAACCGCTGGTCTAGACCCTGGATGTGGGGCCCAGAGGAGGGACCCAGGGCCCATGGAATGTGTTTGGGGCTTGAATCAGCCTGAGCGCCCCGCAGTCTTGTCTAGCTCAGCTGTGGTGCTGCAGAGGCCCCCACGGGGACAGTGGCCAAGCCACACCCATGGCTCCACCAGGTCTCACCTGTCAGTGTGGGAACCTGAGCGCCCAGGTCGGTGGCGGCACCTGACTGGGGTGCAGCCAGGGAGGAGCCTCACGTGAGGCCTCTTTGATTGCCCTGCCCCTCCCCCTACCACCAAGTGGCTCTGTGCAGGGTGTTCTCATCTGTGAAAGGCAAGTCCAGCCCACCTGCGGCCCACTTGCCTGAGGGCTGGGAGCGGCCTCCTCAGGGCCCAGGGACAGGTGGCTCTGCTCAGGAGGGGCCCTGGGATTCACCTGGACGGTCCAGGCTGCCCCCTCCCCCACCTGGGGTAGACCCCTCAGGGCCCCAGTCCTGGGCCCCTTTGACAACCCCTCCTTCCCTTAAGAATCCTGCTCCCAGGCTCCCCTGGGCCTCTCCCTCCCACCCTCCCCCACTCACACCTCAGGGAGCTCTGGACAGCCCCCCCCCCCCGCCCCCGCCCCCCGCCAGAGCTGGGCCATGAGCCCGGGAGCCTCAGCAGGGAAGGTGGAGGCTCTGCAGTGCCACCTTCTGTCTGTCCTCCCACCCCCACCCGGGCCCCCCCGTGTCCCTCTGACTGTGCCAGGAGCTCCCTGAGAGCAGGAGGGAGTCTGATCGCCCAGGGGCTGGCATGCCATCACCACTCACTGATGGCCGACCGTCTCCGTGGATGGGGGACTGGGACTTCTTGGAGCTCAGGGGCTGAGTCTGCCTCACCTGGACCCTGTGCCCGGGGCAGAGCTGTTTGTTTTGTTGAACTGATGGAGGCACCGTGAAGGCACGCATTTATTGAGCACTTACTGTGTGCCAGATGCTCCCCTAGCACTTGGACACTTTTAAACTCAGTGACTCCTGGAGAGAGAATCTGATGGGAATGGAGGGGACCTGGATTAACCAAGCTGGGTGCTGACGGGAGGTGCCAGCAGACGCCACGGGGACCCCTGGCCCACAGCTCCCCAGCTAAGCTCTCAAGGTTGCCCGTAGAACCTGTCAGTGAACCAGTGGTCATTCTGCCCACCTCTGGCCTAAGCAAGGACTGAATGCCCGGCTGAGCTCTGCAAGGTGCCAGCTAATCAGTTTACCCCCAAATGTGCAAACTAGATTTACTATGCCTGATGGCACTCCCCCCCCCCCCGCCCCCCTTCTCTCTTATGTACATTGTCTCTGTAGACCAACATCAACCCGTGGTTACATGTCCCTTGTACAGAAGTAAACAGCAAGCTAATAACCAGCAAATGTCTCTGTTATTCTTTGACACCTACCGCAGCCCTAGGGGGAGGATTCTATTATCCTCCCCGTTTTAAGGACAAGGATATGCAGGCTCAGGGAGGTTAAGTCACCTGCCCAAGGCCACACAGTTGGGGAGTGAGGAGAGAGACCTGCCCCACACCCCCACCTGTTCAGACCCTGTGGCCAGATGCCCCTTCCTCTCTCAGACCCAGCCCTGAGCCAGGAAGGGTAGCAAAACCACCCTGGCATGGTCAGTGCATGAGCCATGCCACGCTACACTCCCTGAGTTGACCGCCCCTTGATGCGTCCATCCCTGAGGAAGGCTGGCCCTACGCCTGCTTCTCCCTCCCAGAGGCTCCACCGAGGGCCAGAGCCTGCACCCCACATGCTCCGATCACCCTCTGGGCTCCCCTTCGCCTGCAGCTGAAGGTCCCAGCTACTCGGCCTGGTGTTCGGACTCTGCCTTTGGTCCACTCCTCATGTCACACATTCTCCTCCTGGCACAGGCCCTCTCTCGCTCTGTCCGGCCATCGGAATTGCCCTTCATCCCGACGGCCTTCATTAGCCCTTGCTGGGGACCTCTAGGCCCGTGTCACCCCTGCAGGGTCGGCTCCCTGACTGAGGGTTCAGCACGGAGTCCCTCCACAGCCATGTCCCTGAGGAAGGTCCTGAGCAAACGGGGTCCCAAGAGCCCCACGTGGCTTCCCCTGGCGGGAGGGGGGAAGGGGGGCGGCGGAGTTCACAGTCTGTGCTCCCGAGTTTGTGAGCCACTGCACACATGACACAGGGACTGGTCTTGGTGTGTGGGAGCATGCGTCTACACCCACACACACACCCATGTGCAACAGGCCTGTGTGGAGGGGCCTGCGTGTGCAGCCAGCCCCGTCTGGGTGTGCGTGTATACACCTGCGATTGGTGCTCCCGTCTGGGAATGTGTGTGTGTCCGCATCTGTGTGTGGGCCTGCGTGTGCCCAGGTGTGGCCAGGCTGTCTCTCCTGCTGCGGGCTCCCTGCTGTGGTGAGGAAGGGGCCCCGTGCCTTCAGCGGGACTCCTGCCCATGCTCCAGCGCAGCCCCACCACTGCCCTCCGCCGCCAGCAGCCACTGGAAGCAAAGAGAGGTGCCTCTCGGAGCGGCTGGCCGGGGTGGGCCTGCCCAGCAGCGGGGCAGGCATGCGGGGCCTGCTGCACAGAGGACCCTGCTTTCGGAGGCAGGCAGGCCAGCGTTCAATACCAGCTCAGCTTCCTTCCGCAAGCCTCAGTTTCCCCAAGTGTAACATAGAGTAACAGCCCCTGGGTTCCGAGAGGACTAGATGGGCTCAGGTTTCCACAGTAGATGCTCACTCACTGGGAGCTGCAGCGATTACGAACAAAATCATTATTACTACAAGTCCGAGGGTCTGCCTCTCAGGAAGAGCCCTGAGGGGCGGGCCGACAAGGTGGCTGAGAGCATCGTGCTCCCACATCGGCAGAGGGTGGGGATGGCCACAGGTGGGGTCATGGGGGGTGGGGGTATAGGGATGCCCTGGTGAGGGGTGGGGTGAGGTGGGGGCCTGGGGGATGCGCCCAGCCTGGAGCGCCAGGGCTCTTTTGTGCATATGAAGTCACGTGGGCAGGCAGGGGCTCCTGCTGGGCCCCAGGACAAGGGCAATGAGCACCCGTCTGAGACGACATCTGTCCACCCCCAGCTTGTCCCAGAGCGTCGCTGAGCTGAGCAGGCTGCTGGGCCTCTCCCTGCGGCAGCCATGCCTGCCGGGGCTCTGCCCAGGGCTCCGCTGGGGCCTCTACCTTGCCCTCCTGGCCTGATACGTTGGCTCTGTCACCTCGGGGAGCCTCTCCCAGGAGCAGGGCTGAGCTGGCGGCCCCATCCGGCCGGAGTGACACTGGCCGCCGTCCTAGCGCTTGTCCTCCTTCTGCTGCCGCAGGGCCTTCAGGAAGACCCCTTTCACCTGGCCCAGGGTCTCGTGGTACATTCGGAAGTCCTCCTCCTTCCCCCGCAGGGCCCCGTCCAGGGCAACCTTCAGCATCTCGTTCTCCTCGGCCTGGATGGCCAGCCTGGACCACGCGGAGAGAGGGCTCAGTGAGGCCCGCCCTGGAGCACGTGCGTGCGTGCGCACGGAAGGCCCTGGGATGGGACTATCAGCACCGCCGCCCTTCAGGCGCAGCCTCCCTCTGACCCGGGGTGGGGGGGGAGGGGTAGGGAGGAGGGGGACACACCATGTAGGATTCCTCTCTGGGCCTGGCACCAGGTCGCCTCCCAAAAGGTTGGCTGCCTCAAGGATGGGACTCATTTGTCGAGGTTCCCCTCCTTCCTTCCCCATCACTGCATTTGACCTTGCAAGGCTTAACCGAGTGAGCAAAGTGGGTTTGGCAGCCCAGGCGTAATGAAATTTCTCTTGAGACTTTGGGGTTATCAGGGTCACGGCTGAGTCTCTCCACCTCCTGATGGCCAGTCGCTGAATTACAGGCCTACAACCCATGGCTCGGCAGGGCCAGCCTTCTGGACGAGCAGAGGTCCAAGGGGAGGGACCTGATCCTTCTGCCCATCGAATCACCTCCACCCAGACCGTGCCACCCTCCGGGAGACAGGGCAAGGGCACCTGGTGGTAATCTCCTCCATCTGGGACTCCACGGGCATGCTGGAGGGCTGGGTCAGAGACCGGTCCTTCTTCTCTCTCACATTTGGGTTGTGCCTGGTGGTAGAGGCGGGCAGACCTGTGGGGCGGCAGCATCCGCTATCCATGATGAGGCCTTGGCCCCGTGTTAACACTCTCCTTCTCCACCCCCGACTGTCCGCTTCCTGCTTTTCCGCTTGTTGAAACATTAGAATTCCTTCAAGGTGCCGGCAAGGCCTGCCTCCCCCGGGAAGCCCTCCCTGATACCTGAGCTGCATCCCCCTGGACACTGGCTATGGCCTCTGCTCTAGCCCTGACTTTGTACCAAGGTGGTTCCTCTAGTTTCTCTGTTCCTCTTTGCACTTTACAAGTTTCTGGAAGGCAGTGGGGCCTGAGGCCTGGCCTGCAGGCTGAGCCTGAGTCTAGGCAGTCACTTCATCTGATGCCCTCAGACCCCTGGGTCCCCAACTCTAGTGCCCATTCCGGCCAGCAGCTCCGTCCATACATACATACAGAGGGTCCGGGGTGGCTGGGCTCAGGGACCATGGCTGGGCTCAGAAAAAGAAATCAAAGCCCAGCTGGTGGGGAACTTGGGCACGATCAACAGCATCAGAAAACCTCTGTGCTGACAAGGCCCTCGGGCTGGACGGCCCTCGGGGTGATGGGGCTCAGGGGAAATCACCTGGCATCAGCAGACCTGGCTTTCACCCCCTGCTGTGTGGCCTCAGGGAAACCATCAACCTCTCTGAGCTGCTTTCCTCACCTGTAAAATGAGGACAACAGTTCTCTCGCCTCTAGTGAGGCCTGAGTGAATTCACACTTGCGGGTCAGACCACCTCCTCAGCACCCACGGCTTCCCTGACCTCACCTCCTATTCCCTCCCCTCACTTGCTCCAGCTTCACGGCCTCCTTGTGGTTCCTCTAAAAGGGGGACCTCCAGCCGAGCTCCCAGCGGGGTGCCTCTGCACTTGCTCTTCCCTCCAGTACCTGTGTGCCTCGTCCCCTCCCACTCCCACCATCTCTGCCGGCCGGCCGCCTCACAAAAAGCAGCTGCTCCCTCCAACACCTGCCCTTCCGCTGCCTCAAGCCACAGCACCTGCCTCCAGCTAACCTAGGTCCCAGCATGTCTTTCACCGGTTTATCTGTTTCTCGTCTACCCTCTTCACTGGACTGAACTGTCCTGAGCGGCCAAACCCCAGAATCGGGGCCCCTCCCTTTGCTGACTGGGGGCTGCCCTGCCCGTGCCACAGGCCAGCGGGTGGCAGCAGCCACAGGGGCACTTTCTGCCCGGCAGCTGCCCCTCACTGTCTGGCCAGGATCAAGGCAGTGTGTTTAGCCCTCCTAGGCCGGGGGCCGGGCTGCTCGGCGGGGGGGGAGCTTCAGTCCCAGAGACACCACGTCCTTGGGGACCTGGTCCTGAGGGCCCAGGGGGTCAGCAAGGCTGAGCGCCAGGGCCTTCCTCAGCCTGGGCCCTCAGCAGCAGCTGAAGGCCAGAGCCCTGGGCCCTGCTGGCCAGAGCAGCGAGAAGGGCACACTCCCCTCTGTGTCTCCGTCCCGATCCCGGCTGGGCTGGCACCAAAGGTCTGGGTGTCCTGGACTGGGGGGACGGAGGGCGAAGGACTGGGGTGTTGAGAGGCAGGGCAGTGGGGGTTGGGATGGGATGTCCGAGGGAGGCAGGCCCAGCCCTCCACACTGGACTCCTTCCCTGTGGGAGTCAGCCACCCCAGAAAGGCTTCTGGCTCTGGCATCCGGCACCCCCAGCTCGGTTCAGCCCCACGGGACGCTAACGCTGCTGCCCCTCGAGAAGCCCTGTGTTAGAGCCGTAGACCTTTTGGGTTAGGACAATAAACGCCCTCCACAGGCCGGTGTGGTCCTAGGGGAGGACCTGGCCAAGGCCATGAAAGCGGAAGTGACACAGCAACCTCAGGTTCGCTCCCTCCAAGGCGAGGAGCAGGCTGTCCCCTGCCCTTCTCCCCTCCGTGCTGCTGGTGGGAAGCGGAAGCCGCCACCTTAGACCATGAGAGGGAAGTGAGTGCGGGGATGGTGGGGCACATGACAGGAGCCCCCAGGCCTAGGAGAGGCCCTTTGCCCCGCTGACGACTGCTGGGGGCAGAACGGGTCCTCTGCTGGCCGGCCTGCTGCTCTGGCTCCCAGCCGGCCAGCTCTGCCGCCCGCCGACGTCAGCTCGGGACAGAGGGCTGAGGGGTGGGGTGGTGGCTGAGGACATCCAGCCAGGGCACTGCCACCTTCCGCTAAGGGCTCACAGGTGAGCCGGGCCAGGGCCGCCTGGGACGAAGGCACTCTGGGGCTCCTGGGTCTGCCTGGGAGGCCGGGGGAAGAGGAGAGGGGCAGCAGGGACGGGCAGAGCCCACCCTGATGGAGCCTCTGCTTCCCACATTCTCCTCGACGGGCTGCTGACCGGCTCCTCCACTGGGCGCCAGGCTTCCCCGCCCCGGCCCTGGGCCCCTGGTCCAGCCCTACCTGTTTTGCTCCTGGAGGCTGATCTCTGAGAGGCCGTCCTCCTGGGCTCCAGGTGCATCCTCCCCAGGTGCTGCTCCAGCACCACGCTGCGCTGCCGCTCCTCCTGCAGCCTCCGCTGGGCCTCCAGAAGCCGGCCGTCCCTCTCCTCCACCCTGGGGGCGAGACGAGGGGCTGCCGCACTCCCTGGCTCCCAGGGAGGTGGGCACATCTGACACGGGTGATGGTGGGACGGGCTGTTCTTTCCTTTCGATGCAGTTAACACGGGCACGTGCGTTTAAAATCCCTATCGTTCCCTCCGAGGCCGGAAAGGGGAAAATCTGCACCCTGCTCACTCCCAATGCCTGCTCGCCAGAAGCAAGCACCTCGAACACGCCTGGCTGCTGCTTGGACTATTCACTGCCTTGTTTCCGCAGGTGCTTATGCTGCTATGTTTTATTTATTTTTTTATTTCTTTTGAGAGAGAGGAAAGGAGGGGAGGGAGGGAGAGATTTGCTGTTCCACTTGCTTATGCATTCACTGGTTGCTTCTTGTGATGAGCCCTGACCGGGGATTGAACCACAACCTTGGCGTATCAGGACGACCCTCTAACCCAGTGGTCGGCAAACTCATTAGTTGACAGAGCCAAATATCAACAGTACAACAACTGAAATCTCTTTTGAGAGCCAAATTTTTTAAACTTAAACTGTATAGGTAGGTACATTGTTATTAACTTAATTAGGGTACTCCTAAGCTGGCCTTTGCTAAAAACGTCCTCAATCTGATTGAGGTACACTCGCTGAGGTCGGCCCCTGCCAACTCTCCCTTCCACACTCGTCTTGTGTACTTGTTTCGTCTATCTCCTTTCGTTCATCTTCTCTCTATGTCTAAACCATCTCAACATACCTTTCTCAGTCCTCGACACTACATCTTCTTTCACTCCACAAGTTTCCCTAAAATTAACTTAATAAACTTTACTTAAAGTTTTAAGTCAACTTCGCACTGTACGTGCGCGCCCGCACGTGGTATTTTGTGGAAGAGCCACGCTCAAGGGGCCAAAGAGCCCCATGTGGCTTGCGAGCCGCCGTTTGCCGACCACGGCTCTAACCAGCTGAGTTACCCAGCCAGGGATATGCCTCTCCTTTTAAGGTTTAAATGGAATCGTCTGACTTCCTGCTGTGCAACATGAGAATTTCGTTTTACTTCGATCCCCTCCTCTTAGGACCAAGCGTCACCCCTCCACCTCCCAAGTCCTGGCTGAGTTAATATGAGGTGGTGTATCGGGTTCCTGTTGCTGCTGTAACAAATGGTCGCAAACGTAAACAGCGTGACGTGACACGAGTTTATTATCTCAGTTCTGTGAGCCTGAGGGTTCGGCAGGTTCTGTGGGTGTCTCTGCTCCAGGTTCCACAAGCCAGAACCAAGGTGCTGGCGGACCTGGGCTGGTCCCTGGAGGTTCTGGGGGAGCATCCGCTTCCCGGTGCACTCGGGTGGTTGGAAGAAGTCAGATCCAATGGATGGACTGAGCTCCCGGCTCCTGCTGGTTGCTGGCTGGGTCATTGTCTTTTAGAGGCCACCTGGGCCCTTCCCTCTTCTAAGCCGGCCGGATACGCTCACCACGCCCCAAGTCTCTGGGGCTTCTGCTGCGGCTCTCTGGCTCTCCGACAGACCCGGGTGCTGCAATCTCTCTGCTTTTAAGGGCTCAAGTGATTACACGGGGCCCACCTGGTAATCCAAGATAATGTTCCTACGTTGGGATCCATAACAATAATTACTTTTGCAAAGTCCCTTTGGCCCCAGAGGGGGACCCAATCCGGTCCACCCCAGGGGGTTGCATTAGAAATGTCATGGTTACATTTCCTTTCTTAATTGTTGCTTCTCTTGGGTTGAGTGATTGCCTTCTGTTTATTGTCATTTACGGCTATTATTATTGGTCTCTTCTATAACAATAATGGATTCGTGGACCTGGAAGGTTATTTCTATTTGGTTATTTCTCACGAAGGACTTGTTTGACCTCCCTGGGGCTGGGGGTAAGTCGTTCCTGTGGCCAGGTGGGGCACTGGCGACTTTGGTGACACTCAAGGCTCAGCGGGAAGGCCGGGACTCCCTGAGACTGAGGCAGGCAAAGGTTACAGACACACGTGCCGATCAGAGTGGCTGCCGGGAAATTCTCAGGGTTGGAGGAACTGGTCTTCGCACCCTTGGACGAGTCAAGAAGGAACTGAATGGTGACAATTTTGAAAAGTACAAACTACTAACACCACACAGCACACGAACACAGTATACAGGCCTCTTAACACAACTTGTTTGAGTATGTTCCTTGAAACTATTTGCAGAAGCAAAAAAACTCAAACCACCTGAAAGGTCCATGAACAGGGGAAAGAGAATAGTGGTCACTAACATATTCATACCAGGGAGTCCGATGGAAGCTGAGAGAGCTGTGCTGGTCGGCACCGTGGCTGCCAGCATAATGCTCATGTGTCGCTAAATGCACATGAATGAGCATCAGACGGCATTAAAAACTCCGCTCCTCGGTCACACTGGCCACACGTGGCTAATTGCTTCTTCTTTGATCAGTAGCTGAGTCGAGGCGGTTAGACTCCTGTTTGTCAATGGCTTTGGTCCTAGAAGCTCCCCAAGACCATGTGCACCAACCTCATGAAACCCCAGACATTGTTAAAGACCCGCCCTTTTTACTTTGTAATTGATTTTCATTCCATTACGAGCGTTTGACCAAATGGACCGAATGGCAATGGGAAGTGATGGCTACACCAAGTCATTAGTGAGTGAATGTTTTGATGTTAAAAATTTTGCTTTCACGAGGACTGTAACTGTTGGGATAGGGATAAAGAATACTCAGATGAGGAGGTCCCCCTATCCAGGAATGAATTTAATACAAATGATACAAGATCTCCATGAAGATCAATATCACACGTTATATACATAATACCGTATACATGATTTGCCATTATTTGTGGACATTTTAAATGTGCATATTCTTTGATTCAGAGATCCCACTATTAGAAGTTTATAACACGGATATACTCCCACAAACACGTAAAGATGTGCCTAGTGTGCGTCCGTCTTTTAATTAATTATATGTGTGTGTGCATCTACAGATACACATATGTACACATATACATGCATATTTTTGGATGTACAAAGAAAACATTTTGAAAGTTCTAACCGATCTTTTCTGTGAGGAGTGGGAAATTGGTGGGGGGTGGGAGTTGGAAAAGGAGTCTTTTTGCAATAAGTTGTATCTCTGTCACAGTAAAGCTTCCAATCTCAAAACCAGTGTGAGAGCAGAAGACGTGAACTTGGGCTCAGACAAGGCAGCGAGCTGCGAGCGAGTTGTCTGCGTAATTGTGGACTGAGGCAGTCTCCTCCTGCAAGCCAGGGAAGGGGTAAGGATGCCCGCAGTCTACCAGGGCCTCAGTGGGGGACAGAGCACCGAGCATGAGGAAATGGAAAACAAGGCCAGCACTTGTGTGTTCAGGAAACCCTAAACCAAGAAATTAGCATAAATGACCGAGCACAGACCACTGAAACCCCAAGAGCGCCACACAGACAAAAGCCGTTCCATGGAGGAGCACTTCCACGGCCTAAGAACCGCCGCAAGCCACTCCGCGTGGGGTGGCTTCTGCTGCGGAAACAGGTAACTGCGTCACCTTGGTTCACAAAACCCCCAACGCTCAGGTGCGACTCAAGGGAAATGGGAGAGAAAGCCTGAACGGGTGTATTCCTCCCGTTCCATTTCCACGACAGAGAAAGAATTACTGTCACTTTTCTCACAGACCTGAGCGTGTCTGGAAATCAGATCCTCCTCCCTGCGTACTGTAGGAAAAGACAACAACGAACGCTGATCACTTCCCGCCGCTAAGGTGGCGGCCATCCATTGACCACTTCCCAGCACCCCTCCCTCCTCTTTTTTTCTTTAACACACTGCCCCTCCTCCATCTGTGAGTACCTGGAGGCATTTCCAGTCAAGATGCCTGGCCCGCGTCCAGGGAGGGACACGAGAGTGATCTGGGCCAGCTAGAATTCCCCCTCAGAACCCACGGGCACTGGAACTGAAAGCCACCGGGCCTTCATGCCAGTGGCCCAGGGGGAGACCACCCAAGGTCCCTGCTACCAAGATTCTGGGACCTTCTCGAGCTTCTCTCCTGCTCGGTGCCTGGAGCCTGCCAGCACCCTCCTAGTGCCTGCCTTTCCCTCCGCTTAGCCGGAATCGGTTTCTATTGCCTGTCACCAAAGCGCCCTCACTGACATGTGATACGGCCTGTTAGGGTGGAAACTCGGTGATGTCCTTTATATTCTCGCTGTGGAGGGCACGGGGCTAGGCCATGTGTTGGCCAGGGCACCTGCGTTTCTTGCCAAAGGGTCACTTGAGTGAGGAGCACTGATTTATCTGAACGGAAACCTGTCAACAACCCCTTGGAGAAAACCATGCCTCCTGGTCCACTGCCTCGGGCCACCCGCTTCCCTGGCCTCCCCACAGAAGTCCCAGCTCCGAGCTCCCAGCTGCTCTCTTTCCCTTTGTAACTCCGGACACCAGTCTAGCCTCCGATGGCGCCGAAAGAGTGCCATACTCACCATAGACTTTAACCACTGGTGGTTGATGGACTGACTTCACTACTCCAGGGAGCCTCTCCCTGAGACCCCCACCTCAGGTCCACCTGCCTGCAATAACCTCAGGACAGGGCAAACTGGTGTGACGACAGGGCCCCAAGGGTGTGGGCACTGGGTGGGGACATGAGCTGTGTCAGGGAATGCCCCTGGCCAACACTGTGGGAGCCCAACTCCCCGGTCACGTGGACCCAGTCACAGACGACGCCTGGCCAGGCCGTGCACCCCCGACCCAGGTAGGCCCATGAAAGGGAGTCCCTGAGCCCAGAGGTTACCGTTTCTGCAGGACGGTGACGAACTCGGTGAGCCGGTTGCGTTCCACCTCGGTGGCCTGCCAGAGAGCCTTGAGCTCTGTCACCTGGGCCTGCCAGCCCTTGTGTTCTGGGGAGTCCAAGAACCTGGGGACCAGGACGAAGGCAGGATGAGGTCATTTGAGGGGTTACCTGAAGACACACTACGATGGTGGCGGAGAGTTGAAGGACGTTCAGGGGTCCTCAGAGATGGCCAGAGAGGAGGAAGCCACCCCAGTCCCCCTGACCCCCTGGTCTTCCACCCCTGGCTGCTCCTCAGCCACCATTCTTGGCCCTGCTGAAGTCTCCAGGCCTCACACCAGGGTAGCCGGCTCCACACCAGGCCCCACCAGGGCACCTCTGTTCATCCAACCCCTCATAGGGGCCTGGAATAAGTCTGGTGGCCACAGTAGTTGGCTTTTAGGGTCCTGGGGTGTTCTGGGTACCTGTGTGGCCAGGGGCATGGCCTCCCTGCCCAATGCCAGCCTGCCCCCGCCCTCTCGCAAATCTTGACCTGGTCCCAAGCCCAGCCCACTCTGCCAGAGCCCGGATAGGTGGCTTTGTGAACTGACCATTTTCTCCAGCCCTGATCCGGACCATCACTGCTTCCCTCCTTACCACTAGGCCTGCCTAGCAGCCCTCCCCAGTGGCCGGGGTCAGGACAGAAGGTAAGCTCTGCCTCACCCCAACCCCCCAGAGGCCACGTGGGAGTCCCAAGCTGCCCTCTGCTTTGCCTTCACCTTTCCCAGTGAGACCCTGGCGACCCTAGCTGTGCTCAGCATCACAGGACACAGACAGGCCAGCCCAGAGGCTGGCGCTTCGTGGTCTTGGGCAGGTTCTTCCCCTCTCTGGGCCCTGGTGGTCCCTCTGCACAGGGTGGGGCCGGTGGAGAGGGCCCTGAGGGCGCAGGCTCCATGCTCTGACCAAGGCCTTGCTGCTCTGCTCAGAGTGTGGTGTCCGCGTTGGCGGCCGGGGCATCGCCTGCAAGCTGGTTGGAAATGCAGGGTCCCAGTCTCTGGCCCAGACCTGCCGCCGACTCAGAACCCACATCTAACCTGGCAGAGCCCCGCTGATCCGTGTGAGCACCACAGTTCGGACAGTCCTACTCCAGTCACCTCCTTGATCTCCCGTGTGGGGGCGCACCCTGCCTTACTCCAGGCACCCACCAGTCTCCAGGCCATCCCTGATGGAAACCTTCTCTGGGTCACCCCTGCCCCACGCACACCCGTCCTGCCACTGATGGGAAGGGACCGCAAGCTCCATGAAGGCAGGGCCCGCACGTGCTCAGGTTCAGTAAACATTTGCATCGTGGAAGGAACCAGCTTGAGAACCAGCAGGCTGGGCCCAGGAGCACACGGGCCCCTGCACCCCTGTGGCATGCCCAGGTCCCAGCCACACAGGCTGGAAGGGACCTCGAGAGGTCATCCTGTCCACCTCCCCGGTCCTCCTCCTATGACTACAGCCTCGGAGACAGAGCCTGTCCTTCTCTGTGGCAGGAGAACTGTGGTGGGAGCCCCCTGGCTCAGAGTTGGCCCCCTCTCTCCCCAGATGCCCTGTGACTCTAGGCTGCTGAGCGGGGCAGCTGCAGGGCTGGCCTTGGCCATGGTCCCCGAGCTGCCGGATGCCAGGCCAGAAGTGTCGTGGGCACTTCCTGGGAAACGGAAGCCCTGGGAGGACCAAATTGCTCAGCAAGTCAAAAGTGGACCTAGACCCGTGGTTGGCAAACTGTGGCTCGCGAGCCACATGCAGCTCTTTGGCCCCTTGAGTGTGGCTCTTCCGAAGCCTTAGGAGGACCCTAATTAAGTTAATAACAATGTACCTACCTATATAGTTTAAGTTTAAAAAATTTGGCTCTCCAAAGAAATTTCAATCGTTGTACTGTTGATATTTGGCTCTGTTGACTAATGAGTTTGCGGACCACTGGCCTAGACCCACTCGGCGGCTCCCATCAGAACCTGAGCTGACCTGCCTGAGGGGTGGGGTGGGGGAGGGGCTGGCAGCAGGGGCAGGGTTCCAGGGGACAGTGGGCAGGGCTCAGAGGCAGGACAAAGCTTCCCTTTGTCCGTGAGCAGCACCAAGAACAAAGAGCCCATCTGAGAACAAGGCTGGCTTCTATCTCAGAGATGGGGCCGGGGGAGGAGGGGCTATCAGTGCCTTCAAGTGGGGAGGCATAGGATGCGAAATTCTCCCCCAGAGGCTGACTCTCGGCGGGCAAGCGAAGACAAGGGGAGGGGCTGGGCCCTGGGCCCTGGAAGATTCCCGTTCAGGCTGCAGGAGCAGGGACACTGGACTGCGAGTCGGAGGCCGGGACTGGTTCCAAGCCTCTCACCTTGGACAAGGCACTCCAGGTCCTCCCTGCCCTCCACGTCCTTATGTAACCTTGGGAGAGTTCCCGGACTTGGCCTGGCCTCAGTATCCCCTCCTTTTAATGGGATGGCGCTCCCGGCTGCGTCAGGGATGGGAAGGACGGAGAGGGCCCGGGGATGCTGGGTTCTTACCTGGGTGAGGCCCCGTGAGGACTGGGCGGGGAAGGCCACGTGCGAGCAGATTCCACGAGTGTGTGGCCCAGGCTGGTCACCGAGCTGTGTGAAGGCAGAAGGGGCTGTCACCGCGGGGAGGCAGGCTGGCCCTGCCAGGCCCCACCAGCTGGGCGGGGAGCCGGGGCTAGCAGGGCCCGGAGCCCCGAGGAGGTGGCCAGTGCTGGCCCTCGAAGCTGCCTGTGGATTGGCTGGCTGCTCTTTGGAGAGCTCGTGCTCAAAACGAGAAAGCGGGAGATGTCAGAGCCTCGAACAATCGAGCACAGGTCTGTGCTGTGAGTCCTAGAAGCAGGTGAGTCCCGAGAGGACTGTGCAGGGAGCTGCAACCGCAGGCTCCGCGGGTGGCGGGGGCTGGGCCTCCTGCCCTTCAAGCAGATGCGGGGCCAGCGAGCAGGAGAGGCCCACGTGCTGGGAGGACGACGCCACAGCCATCTCCGCATTCCCAGCCGAGGCAGCAGAAGCCTCCTTTCCTCTGAGTCACCGACATTCGCTTCCCCACCCCTGCCGCCCACGGGCCACTTACCGAGGGGATCTGAGCCTGCCATGGTCGCCCACCGAGGCCGGGGACTTGGCCAGGCCCGCGTCCTCCGGGACCTCGGTGTGGGCAGGGCCGACCTCGAGCCCACTGGACCCCTCGCTCACGCCTTTATTCCGATGATACTGCAGGGAACAGACACGGGTTGGATGCTCAGGGTTTGGCTCTGAGGCCTGGGCAGGCAGGAGGGGGCCTTGGCTGGATTCCGAGCCTTTCAGGGGACATGAAAGAGGCTTCTTTTCAGGAGTGAGACACGAGGCCTGTCTGGTGCCGGCGCTCCTTGCATGATAATGACATTGAATAATGCCTCTCTTCAGAAGGGAGCTGCCGGGTGCGAGGCCGGACTGGACTGGAGAGCTGCTCTACATTCTGGTCCCAAAGGGACGCACGGCCTGCGGGCGATCAGAGGCTGGCGTCCTGAGTGGGCCCGTCGCTCTCGGCCACCCCACCCTCGCCGCCAGCTGGAGAAACTTGAACTTCCAGACACCTGCGGCCAGAGAGGCAGCCGGGCCCCCATCCCTCCCCCGCATCCCCCTCCTCTGGATAGCAGTGAGGCCTGCCTGAAGGACCCTGCAGGATGCCAGCAAGGAGTGGACAGCCCCATCCGTTCTGAGAAAACTTGTCTGGTGGGCAGTGCTTGCCCCCAGCCGGCTGGTGACCTTTGAGAAAAGGGTCAACCCCCGTTTGTGTGCCCGGAGCCAGGAGCGCTGAGGTGGGGACGCTGGAAAGCCGTGTGCCCTTCAGACTTCACTCCCCAGTGAGCCTGGGCGAGGAAATGCCCCCACTCACTGCCACACATACTGTCCCCAAACCTTCCCCCTGCCCCCGGCTCTCCCTCACCCCGATCCCGTGGCCCAGGCTGGCCTGCCTCTGGGGAGGGATGGCTACAGGACAAACCGCCCACACCCGCCCACACCAGCCGGGGGCGGAGGGCTCCCTGGGCTCCCGGGACTCCCACGGCACCATGCACCCTGGGAACAGGGCAGGGATGCTCTGAGACACGCCTTTGGTCGAGCTGGCCGAGAGGCTCCCATCCCTGGGAAACCTGTGTGGATGTCAAGGAGTCCTCCCCAGAGGTGACCAAAGCCCCTGCCCCCGGCACCACCGGCACCACAGGGAGGGGCCACAGAGCCCTCGTGCCTGACGCCAAGCAGCCCGGGCTGCACCCTCAAGGGGTCGGCCAGGGCAGCGTATCTTCAGGAGCTCACGCCTGAGATGCCTTTACTGAGCATCTACCGTGATGCTGCTGCTATGGTCTGTGTCTCCTCAAGGGGAGAAAACTGGAAGATGATGGCGCAGTGGGACGAGTCTGGCTCGGGGATGCACGGGGCGTTCGGAGAGTGCCCAGGAGGGGTACATAACAGAGAACGGGGGCCCTGGAGCTTCCCAGGGGGGCTCATGCTAGGTAAGACCTAACGGCTGAGAGGCAGCTGGCCAGGCAGGGTGTGGGGGAGGGACGGGAAGGCGTGAGCGTCAGGCCTGGAGCAGGGAGAGAGAGCGGGGGAGAGAGCAGGGCCGAGTGGGGAGCTGAATGGCATCCCTGCGGCCAGAGCGTGCAGGAACCGGAGGGGCGAGGAGGAGGCGACAGAGGGGTGGCAGCAAGAGCTGGTCACATGGGGCCCTGCCGGCTGGATGAGGAAGTGTGGCTTCCTGCTACCTGGGATGTGAGAGTGAAGGCTGCTCTCCAGCCACCACCTGGGACCATGAGGAGGAGGGGATGAGCTGGAAGGAGCCTGGGCCCGTGAGGACTGGGTGGTGGGGAGCCAGGGACAGGTTTTTGCAGAGCAGGGGGACAGTCAGGTTTGTACCTGGGAGAGGACAGGTGCGTGCAGGATGAGCGGGGGGCCAGGTGGAAGCAGGCAGGGTGCGGCGCACCCTGAATAAAGTCAGGCGGAAGGGTGCGGACGGGGCTGAGATGTCTCTGGATGGCGGATGGCCGCGCCAGGACTGGGAAACGGCTGCTGGGCCGAGCCGGTGCCCTCCTCACCTGCACACTGAGCTGCCCGATCTCCAGCTCCAGCTGCCGCACCTTGGCCTCCCGCTCAGCCACCATGGCCTGCAGCTGGGCCACCAGACTGCTGCTCTGCTGGGCCTCGCTGTTGAGCTGCTGGTCCAGGCGGTGCTGGGAGGCTCGCGTCTTTTCCTCCTGCAGACTCAGGCTGCCCAGAACCTCCTGCAGCTGCTTCAGCTGGACCTGGGGGCCGAGCAGGAGGGCAGGCGAGGGCCAGCCACGGCCCCTGGGTAAGGAAGGACAAGGGGCCACCGACCCCCCCACCCCCACCAGCACCCCACCATGCCCTGTGCCTGCAGGGGCCTCACGGGGACACTGTGTTCCCTGGGAAAGCACTTGGGCAGGTGGGAGCCAGGCCCTTTTCCTCTCTTCAACTTTCTCCTCCCTGAGGTCGGGGCCAAGGATGTCTAAGGGGCTCTTGGGACAACGGGAAGCAGCTCAGATGGTGGCCCCTCAGCCAGTGCGGGGGGACATTTGGACAAAACGAAACCCCACCCCCCTCTGCTGGGAGACTGCCCTTGCAGGCAGTACCCAGCACGCTCGCCAGGAATTCTTTGGCACCTGCCGGAGGCCCCATCCCCGAGATGCCCCAGAGGACACTCTGAGGTGGAAGTGTCCTGCCTACGGGCCAGGAAGGACCGTGTTGGTGACGCGGAACAGGAGGGGGCTGCTGTCCTCACCTCACCGTGGAGGGAGATGGGGCTCGGGGAGCCCAGGGGCACTGCTGGTGAATGGCAGGGCTGGGCTGCGTTGCAGCTCTCATCATGCCACCTTCAGTGACAAAGGATGGTGGCACACTGGGCCCTCAGAGGACACCCAGCCCCACACCTTATTTCAAAACAGGGAGCTGAGGCTCAGAGCGGGAAGGCAACTGGCCTAGGATCATACAATGAGGTGTCAACAGAGACAGGCCCGGATCTCAGGTCTCCTGTGGCCCTCCATCCCCCACCCCGAAGTGATCACGGAATGGGGGCGGTGCCTACGTCTGCATCTGTTCCCCCAGGTACCCCGGTCAGCCAGGCATGACCACCGAGGACAAAAGTTGGAATTCAGAGTCAAAAGTCCTGGGTGCCGCAGGCCCCAGAAAGAACAGGCCAGGCTGGGGTCAGAACCACAGAGCGGCGCTGCTCATCAAGGAAGGCTTCGCAGGCAGATAAACTCGGTTGTATGGCCTTGGGTGACTCATCTAGCCAGCTGGAGTCTTAGTTTCCCCGTCTGTGAAACCGGGTTGTAATACAGATCCTCGGGGACTAACCATTACAAACTGCTCCCCAAGGGCCCAGAGGGAGGGGCTCCGCGTTGCCACACAGACAAGAATCTGTGCTGGCCCCTCAGTTGTCCCTCCCATGCCCTGATGAAAAATAACCCAAGTGTCATCCTATTCCTCCGCCCTCACCCATTTCTTTCTCCTTTGGGGTCCACAGGCCTGGTGGCTTGTGCCTGACATCTGTCTCATACACCATGACCTCTAGACGCCCTTGGGCCGCTTCTGAGCTGCTCCTGCCCCTGGAGTGAACATCTGGAGGCCATGGGCTGCGGGGTCATGCAGGTGGCATTTGGGGTCCAGTGAGGGCTCTCAGGGGCTGGGCTGGGGCCGGATCGCAGGCTTCTGGGAGGGGCCGTACCATGAGGGCATCAATGAGCTCGTCGTCATGCCGGCCCTTCTCCACTAGGGTCCCCGTTTGACTCCTGAGGGTCTTCACTTCGCTCGCCAGCACCTTGTTCCGGGACCTCACGCCCTCAAACTTCTTCTTCAGCTCTTCCAGCTCTCTCTGGAGGGCGTCCCGCTCAGCAGCCAGTTTCTGGAACCAGAAAGTGCAATCCTGGGCAGGGCGGAGCGGGCCCCCCAGCACACTGCCTTGCTCACTGGGAGGCGATGCCTGAATGGGAAGGGGACTTGTCCAAGGTCATAGAGCAAGTCAGTGGAGCCGGGGCCCCGACTCCAGCCCTTGCCCAAGCACAGGGCAGACGGCACCAGTGGATGCCAGCACTCCTTCCTCGGCTCCAGCTCACAGGTGCCCAGGAGCTGCCCCCGCTCTGCCAGAGTCAGGCTAAGAGGAAACACATGGCCACCTCTGGCTCTGTCCTCCAGGGGTGGTCCTCCCCCCACCGCGGCCCCTTCCCCCTGCTGGGGTGAGAGGAGAGCTGTGCTTCCATGATGCAGGCCCCGGGGGTGATACCAGGCCGCCCACCTGCCCCAGCGCTGCTCCTTTAAGGCCATCTGGGCCCTGCACACCTCTGGGGCCGGGACACTTCCCCTCTACTTTTACAATGGAAGTTTCAGATCCAACCTCCCAATCGGCCAGGATGGGGCCACCCAAGGCCATGAAATGGGCTCGGCCTGAGGACCCAGTCAGGCGGCTCCAGCTGATCTCAGGATGTGAGGAACATACACAGCGTGACCCCAACCCCCGGGTCTCCTGCCTCTAAGGGCTGCCTCCGAGTCCTTGCAGGGGCGTCATGATCCCCAGGCCCCACCGCCCTCCCCGGGGCGTGCATTACCTCCCAGCCTTCCTGCTTTTCCCTTTCCAGGTTGCGGATCCTCAGCAGGTTTTTCTCCTGTGCCGTCAGCTTCCTCGGGTCGGGACAGACGGACAGCTCGTCACTGGCTGCTCCCACAGACTGGCTCTGGGTCTGTCCCAGCTGCTTCTCAAGCTCTCGAACCTGAGGGGGGCGGGGGGTAAGACTCGCTGTTCATGGCCGGTCTGCAGTCAGACTCGACTGCTCGGAGGGCCACCCTGAGGGGTGACGGGGACCCCACCAGGCAGAGGACACCACAGTTCCAGATGGACGTGGAAGCCCCAGAGGGGGGGGGGGCTGGGGAGGGGAGGGATCTGAGGTGGCACCTTGAGCAAAACAAGAGAAGACACTAGAGAGGGTCAGCTTGGAAATGGGAAGCATCAAAGTCAATGAGAAAGAGCGCCCCGTCTCCGAGGGCCTTGAGGCCGAGAAGCAGATGTGTAGCCCCAGGAACCTGGGAGGGAGAGGACAGCGGACCTCAGTTAGAAGAACTCTGACAGACTGGCCACCCAAGACCTGCGTGGCGTGCTCCTCGGGCGGCCCGGGGTCCTGGCCACGTGCGAGAGGCGCCGCAGAGGGGGGGGCAGGGACGGGAGCCTCACTGAACTTCTCTGAATATCAGGTCTCTCGTCTGTGACATGGCCCTACGGGATACCCTGAGCTTGTCTGAGCCCGGGAACTCCCAAGATGCTCCTTGGAATGACAAATCCTGGGGCCCACTCCAGACCAACAAGTCGGAGCGCCAGGGGCAGGGCCTGTGGGACCTTCGTGGAAAACAAGTGCTTTGGGAAACCCTACGGTGGCCCAGGGGCAGCCCTTGGCACGGGCCCAGCTCTGCCCGGCAAGTGGCAGGTGGGGGGGCTTATCACCCTGGGGTCGGAGTGGGTAATTCCCAGGGTCCTTCTAACCCTGGTTCCCATGTCGACATAACATAAATGATGGAACGAAGTTGGGTAAACCAGAGCAGGTGGGGGCAGCAAAATTCACCAGACTCACTGGCAAAGGGTAGCAGTGAGGCCGTGAAAGCGCATGTCAATGCCCTCGTGTGGCGTTGTGTGGTGATTCCATTGAGCATTAAGGAACGCAGGACTGCTTTTAAAAGTTTATTTACGCAACTTAACAACAACAGTGATGAACAACAACTTTACAAATGTTATTTCACGGAGCCCCCTACCACCCATGAGAAAAGGACCGTCGCCTCCATTTTACAGGTGGGGAGACTGAGGCACAGAGAAGTGATTTGCCCAAGGTCACAGAACTTGTGGACCAGCGGCTCAGGCCACACTCAGACCCGAGTCTCTTGAACCCCCAGGCCCCACACTGGTCACTAGTTACAGTTTCCTGAGGGCCGTTCCCTCCTCAGGTTGGTTTTAAGGATCCCACAGGAGCCCCCGAGGGTAAAAGCCACCCAGGAGCTGTGACCCCGAAGTCCCTGGGATGAGGGCAAAGTGCTCGGCAGCTGTGGTAGTTATACACCGACTGGTGTTTCTTGGTTTGAAGGCAAAAAAGAGGAAATTAAGCACAGCTAACCTCGGTCCAGCGCTTCCTCCGGCCTGGCGCTGTGCTGAACATGTTACACACCCCGGCTCCTTCAGTCCTCCCAACGGCCCTGTCGGGGAGGTCCTAGCAGAGTCCAGTGTTTGCAGATGAGGAAACTGGGCACAGAGAGGGGAAGGAACTTGCCCGAGGCCACACAGCTGGTGAGGGGAGAGCTGGGATTTGATCCAAGCAGTCGGACTCCCCCTGCTCTGAGCCTCTAGGGAGGCTCAGAACGTTTAGAACAGAAAGAGGGAGGCCAGGCTAAGTTTTTACTGGGTATTAAAACTTTCAAAAGTCTACGAGCATCTGGACAAAACTGGGAAAAGCCTACAAGTGCGCCAGTCACGCAAGTTTACACGAACTGGGGGGAAACATGCCTGGAGTCGAATAAATCAGAGGCTTTGGCTCTGTGAAGCGCCAGTGCCTGCCACATGGTAACGGTTACATAAATGCTTGTTCACTAAATGACAAATTAAATCAGGCTGGTTGGGGAGAACGGGAAACGACGACCCTGCAGGGGGCCTTTTGGGGGCCCTGTGTCTCTGATGTGGGTCCGTGGGGGTCTTTCGGGGGGCATTTCAAGCCCTCCGTCCAGGGCCCGGAGAAGTCTGATGACTCACTCACCTTGCTCTGCAAAACGAGAATCTGTTGAGCCCGACCTCTCCAGGTCCCTGGCGAGGACAGAAGCTGCTGGATGCTCACATCTTCCCCAACCTCGCTGGCCAGCACCTGGAAAGGGCGCGGCCTTCAGTGTGGCCGGGAGAGAGGGCCCTGCCTGTTCGGAGGCAGAGCGGGTGCGTGGGGCTCCCAGAAGGCCCGGCCTCTGCCCACACAGCCTTCCTCCACCCCAGAGGCCAGCTGACCACCTTCCAAGAGCAGCTCTCCCCGGGAAGGCAGCAGGCCCCTCGTCCCCAGCATTTCTTGGCGATGGATGCTTAGAGCAGACAAGGAACTGCTGACAACACCCAGGTGGGGCCCCTCGCTCATGACGTATTCTGGGATGAGTGAACCACAGAATTCACCAAAACCTGCTTCCTCAGTTTGTTCACCCGTCACCTAGCGCTGAGTTCGTTCTGGATGGCCACAGGAAGTGCAGGGCCACGGGGCCACGCCCTCTGTGAAAGCCACTGACACCGGGCCACGTCTGAGGGCAGCGAGGCAGAGGGGCTTATGGATGTCAATCGGGGACGTTTGGCTCCAGAAGGCCCAACGCTGCGGCTGCTGACGGGAGGCGTTCAGGCCTGAGCTGGACACGGCACGCTCGGCCTGTGCCCGGGCCCCTCTGAAGCCCGTCACGGAAACCTGATTGGGCGCACCGCGTCCCCGGTGCTTGTTTCTACAATAGAACACTGTTTTGGAAATCTGAGTCGTTCCAGCAGGACAGACAAATGCCAGAGAATTCACTGTGTAAATAAAAATAAATAATGGAGCCGCTGGGCCTGCCTCCCAAGCCTGAGCGTTTGCCTTTGAAGGGGGGCCCGGAATACACAAACAACCGATTCATTTTCTAATATTGCGACGGCAGAGGGCACGAGGCAGGTCTTGGCTTCCAAGTCCAAGGGGGCTTAGGGAGGAGAGGCCCAGGATCCACTGGGGTGCACAGGGCACAAGGCAGGTTTTAAGGGCTCTCCCTGGGGGGACAGCACTGTCCTCCTCGCTCCGGGGCTGGGAGGGCTCCACGTGGGCGTGCGTGCAGGGCTCCCCGGGCAGCCAGCAACCCCCCTCGCCAAATGGTTCTGTTTCCAGGGCTGGTGGAAGGAAGTTACTGGATCTGGAGCCTGACCCAGAGCGAGCAGCATGGTGCCCACGGGGCCAAGCCCCCGCTTGTCCTGAATGGAACCCATTGTCCCCATCATGCCCCTTCCCGATGCCAGCCCCGGCCAAGAAGGCCTGAGCCTGAGGTACCTTCTGGGCCATCCGGAGCTCCTGCTTCAGAGACTGGACCTGGTTTCGGAGGTCACTCGTCTTCAGGTTTGCGGTCGCCAGCCTGTCCTGCAAGGCCTTCAGCTCCGGGGTCTCCGGCTGGGGGAGAGACAGGATGGAGAGCCTGAGCCGTGGTAATAACCAGAGCCCCCCTTATCCGAGCACGTGCCGGGGCCCTGCCGAGTGCTCAGCGAGGAGCCTCTCATTTCATCCTCATCAGCCCCTGTGAAGAAGGTTCTGCTGTCAGCCCCTTAGAGCTGCAAAGTGGAGGCTGGTGGGGGGTAAGCCCCCTGGGCTTGGGCACCTGGTTGGGAGAGAGGGAGGTGGATGTGAGTCCTGTCAGCCCAACTCGGGGCTGAGCCTTTTGTTCTGAGGGTTGCATGTGCATGCACACGCGCACACACACACACACAGACACACACAGAGACACACACAGACACACACAGACACACACACAGACACACACAGACACACACACAAAGACACACACAGACACACACACGGACACACACAGACACACACAGACACACACACATACAGACACACACAGAGACACACACACAGACACACACACAGACACAGACACACACATATACAGACACACACAGACAGATACACACAGACACAGACACACACAGACACACACAGACACATAGACACACACACACACACACACACGGTGACCACAGAGGGGGAGCCACACTTCCAGGCTGTGCACTCTCTCTGCTGTGCTCAGAGACCAGCCTCACAGCTCACCCATCTTCACTCGGAACAGAGAGGGAATCGGTTCCTTTGCAGGAGGGCCACTGCCACCGAAACGTGGGGCCTCCCTCTTCTGGAACCCCCAGCCGGGCCTGGGTCCCTTTCCTGGTACTGAGCTCGCCGAACAGAAATAAGGACCCTGTTTAATCCCCAAACGCTCCATTCCCGTGGCGTAAAGAGCTGTGGCAGCCATGAAAACTCTGCCTCCTGGAACTCTTAGCAACGTTTTTTTGTTTTTTTAAATAATGTTTGATTTCAACTATTAAATGTAAAATTTTCTCCAATGTGCTGCCCACTTCTCTGTCTTCAGTAGAAGTTCCCGAGACTCGCAGAAGTTCGGCGTGAAAGGTACTCCCAGTTCAGCCCACGCACACCCCTACCCTAGGTGATGGAGAAAGGTCCAGAGAGGGGAAGTAACTTGCTATGGGGTACACAGCGGGTTGGGGGTGCCAGAGGTGGGATCAGAAGCCTGCTCCTCCCCTGCACCAGCCGACTCACCCACGTAAGCCGTTGCTGATGCCCAGGCACCGTGACAGCAGGAGTGCTGGCTGGTGGGCTGGGCGTCCCACCAGCCATGACACAGACCGCCTGCTCCTGTCCCAACAGGCCAGGGGGCCGCACTTCTGGGAAGCAGGACGGGGACTGCAGTGGCTTTCTGAGCCTCCCTTAGCGGACACAACAAAATCTCCAGTGTCAACGCCCACGGGAAAGGCAGATCCGAGGAGCCTGGGTCTGGGGAGCGCCGTGGGCCCCCAAAGGCTCTGGGTAGCCCAGCGGGAAAGCCCGGCCGCACCAGGTTTCCTCATGATGGAGTGGGTGTAAAACACTCCTCCCGGTCCTGCTCCCACAGCGCCACCACGAGGCCAAGCAGAGCGACCGACGCGAACAGTTCTGCAAGCTGGGAACTTACACAAAACCCAAGGGCATCTTTTTTTTAATCCTTTTTTTTTTACGTGTCCTCCCCCGTCTGGCTGCCCTGCCTGCCATCCCTCCTCATGGCTGTTGGGCACTGTCTTCTCCCAGCTACTCTGCGGCTTTGACTCTGCCTTGGAGTGGGAAGCAACACCCCCTCCGGTGCCAGGAGCCCCGCGGGCCCTGCTGGTGGGTGAGCTGCTCAGAGCACCTGCACCTAGAACCCAGGCCATGATGTCTCTCCAGCCCGTTTCCTCATCTGTAAGATGGGGGGATAGGGGTGGGTGTCACCAGGCTCTGGGGCCGGCAAAGTGATGATAGGATCACACAGGTAAAGGGCACTGCCTGGGGCAGATTCTGCCAGAGGGCGATGCTGGGGACCCTAGCCTGACTGGGCCCGGCAGCTGGTAAAGGGGGCTGAGGGCCAGGCGGTGCTCCGGTAGGGGCCCATGTGCACGTGCCTGGCAGCTGGGCCAACCCCACCTCCTGCCGTTTCGAAGCTGTGTCCGCCCAGAGTGAAACTCCACAGGCTCTGGGGGACGTGGGTAGGGCTGTTTCCTTGGAGGGGATAAGTAAAGCCCAGCTCACGGGGAGCCGGCAGCGCCAACGATGCTCTCACCACCGCCTCCTGCAGCCCCAGCGGAGGGAGGGCCGCCCGCTCCACTCTGAACAGTCTACTGGGGGTGGGGGGACATTGCCTTGGTTCTCTCTCTGGTCAGAAGATGCCCAGGAAAACCACAGGGCACTGATGAATTGAGACGGGCAGCCCATCACCTGCTCCTCCATCAGAAACCGTCCAGGCTCCCTGCAGCCACCCCAGCTGCCATTCGAGGCCCCCTCCATGGGCACCTCCCCCCAGCTGCCATTCGAGGCCCCCTTCATGGGGACCCCCCCCCCCCAGAGCCTCCTTTGGCTCACATTCCCTTTTCCCCCTCAGGGGCTCTGGGCTGCAGGCCAAGGTTATCCAGCTGACAGACACCAGCTAGCAAACATGATAGAATACCGATGCTTCCCGGCCTCTGAGCCTATTGGAGGCCCCGCCCCCACCCCCTTCTCCAGCAGGGCCCCCCTCAGGAACCCTCCTTCATGCCACCTCCCAGCCGTCTCAGAGTCTCAGACGAGGGGTGAGGGGCACCCTCCCTCTGTGCCCTCAGAGCCCAGCCCTCTAGAAGGCCCTGCCCCCTCCTTCCCTCGACATGGCCACTCATCTGCCCTCTTGGGATCCCCGGATTTTTTATTTTCTGGGTCGCAGGGCTCAGAAGACCCTGTCAGTCTCCACAAGTGCCTGGGCCAGCGCTGCCCCCTCCAGGAGCTCTGGCCGGGGGCACGGAGGCGCTCAGCGCTCTGGGTCAACCGGGGCCGCTGAGCACATCCCTCAGAACCAGGAAAGGCCCTGGACCCTCAGCCCAGCCCCTGCCGAGGGCCAGCCCTCCTCGCGCCCCCAGCAGCCAGGCAGGTTCACACAGACTGGCCCTCAGGAGGCACATCCACCCTGGACCCCCAGGGCCCGGCGCTGCCCGCGGAGGACTGAGCTCTCCCCGGGACGGGCGTGAAGCCACTCGGTCCTGAGTGGTGGAGAGCTGGGGCGGAGGGGCTGGGACAGGAGCTCTGAGCTGGGCGTCCTGAGGCTGCGACCCGGGTCACCAGCTGGCTGCTTCCCAGGGGAATGTCCAGGGAGGCTTCTGGGATGCTCTCGAGACTCCGGTCAAGGAAAGAATTCTCAGAAAATAAACCGCCCCCTCCAAGCAGGGCTCCATGGGCAGCGGTGAGCGCCCTGTCCCTGGGGGTGACGCAGAAGTGGGATGTCGCCCCAGTGAGGATGCTGTACAGGGTGCTGGGCTGAGAGTGGGCGGCTGGTGGGACCAGGCCCTCCCCTCTGGTCCTGAAATCCTAGGCTTCTAGGTCCTCGGGCCCCCCCTCCCGAGCCCCTCTCTGCGTTAGGCCCCCCTGGCCTCCGCTGGGGCATCCCTGGGCGGGGATTGTGGCCCCCCAATGGCTGCTGTGTGGATGCTGCGATGGTGGCACCGCTCCCCAGGGGGGTGGAGGTGGACCCGGGACAGAGGCACCCGCCCTCCCGGAGTTGCCCGCTGCCTCCCAGCACAGAGGAAAGCGCATACCAAGGCTCCGTCTCCCGGCTGGGCCCTCGGCGGCTTAGCTCCCGCGTCGGTGGCCCCCTTGGCCGGCAGCCTGGCCAGGGCCATCTGCAGCTGGAAAAGCAAGCGCCACACTTAATCTTTCATTCTGCTCAGCGACTGCGGCGCCGAGTGAAGCCGCCCAGGCCGCCCTCGGGTGCGTGGCTGCCGACCTCCGGCCTCCGTGGTGGCCTTTGGGCGCACCTGGGGGTCTTTGGTGGGGAACGCTCATCCGCCACATGCCCTGGGAGAGGGTCCCATGGACAGAGCAGCAGCCCTGGGGGTCACTGACAACTTAACAAGAACGACGCTGCAGCCAGGGTCGGTGCCCGGGAGCCCTAACAGCCGTCTGGGAGGGGTAAGGAAAGACAGACTTCATGGTTCAGATGAGGAGACGCTGAGGACCTGCTACCTGGGCCCATGGCCGAGACCATCACCACATACAGACAGGCCACCAGCCCGTCACTGGCTCCCCCACTGCTCCTCACACAAAGCCCACGCCCTGCCTAACAAGCTGGGCATGGCCCACCCCCACCTCTCTCACCTCATCCTCTTCCCCTCCCGCCACACGGGCCTCCTCCCAGACCACCTTCCGCACTCAGGGCCCCGCACCTGCGGGCACCTGGCATGGGGGCCCCTCCCCACCTCTCCCAGCTCATCCTCCAGGGGCCCACCGGGCACGCTCCCTCCTCTAAGAGGCCATGGGTGCTGGTCTATCTCCCAGGAGGGCGAGAGCCAGGCCTACTTTATCCCTACAGTCTCCCCGGGGCCTGGCACAGAGCCTGAGACGGGTCTCAGAACTGTGTTATGGAAGAAAGAAGCCCCAGGTCCGTGCCAGGCACAGTGACGGGGAGGATGCTGCGGAGCCACAGAATTGGACTTGAAATCGGGCACCACCGCGTGCTATGCGGCTCCAGGAAGCCGCTTAGCCTCTTCCAGCCTCGGCTCCTGCTGCCGTGTGAGCAGAGGCTGGTGGGTGCTCCCTGGCACATGGATCCCATCCCGGCTCCTACGGGAACGTGGACTGCCTGGGCTGTGCCCTACCCTGCTGGAGGGCTCTGGGATGAGCTGCAGGAGTGGGGGGCAAGGGGGCAGCAGAAAGAGGAAGGGGGCAGAAGTGAGACCGATTGGTAGCACGCTCCTGGCTTGACCTTCCAATTCGCCAGGATCCCCGTTAACGCATCTAACAAACGTGCATCCAGTGCTCACTCCATGCTGGGTCCTGCTCTAAGCGCTTTGCAACGTGAAGTCATTCATTCCTCAGGAAACCGTCGGGGGAGCCCTGTCCCTACCGCCACGTGACAGACGGGAGCGGGCGGACCACCTCGCTCAGTGTCACAAAGCGAGTCAGCGACAGAGCTGAGGTTCCCACCCAGGCGGCCAGGCTCCAGGCCGCGTCCTGACCTCTGTGCTGCCTCTCCGTGACCCCTGTCCCCCTCGCTTCCGGACACGCTCCCCCTCTCAGGATGCGACAGACTGGGGAGCTCACTGCTACCACGGACCCACCAGCCCTTCAGAAGGAGCCACAGCCCCCAAGTGCGGCTCCCTCTGTGGAGGGGTGGCCCGGGGTGCTGGGGCCCGGCGGAGACGGGGATGAGCAGGGCGCCTCACTTCCTGCTCCAGCTCCCGGACGCGATTGCTCAGCTGCTTCACTCTGGTCTTCGCGCCCTCGGACTCCGCCATCAGCACCCGGTTCCGCTTGGACAGCTCGACAATCTTGCTGGCGATCGCATCCCCAGCCACACCGGCTGACCCTCGGGGGGAAGGAAGAGAGGGCGGGGTGAGTGAAAGACACGGGCCCACACAGCACACGCACGCCCCCCTGCCAACCAGCCGCCAGGGCTTTGAAAGAGGCTCAGGAGAGTCCCCGCACTCCTGGGCGCCAGAACCGACCCCAGCAGGCACTGCAGCCACGCGGAGGGAGGCTCGGTGCGCCCTAGGAGAATGACCGACCGGGGAGCGGAGTGTTGATCCTCCGGGAGAGGGGGTCATCAGGCCGGTCCTCCACGCCCTCCTGGGAGACAGGCTCCCACACCCACACCTCCTGCCCGGGACTCGGCTGTGCCCCCCAGTGCTGACGCTGGGGTGACAAGGACTGGCTTTGGCCAACGGGACGCTAGCAGACAAGGTGGAGGTGGGGGCTGAGAAGCTCTCGTGCAGGTAAACTCGCCCTTGTCGCTTGGGCCACCCCCTCAGGGCCAGCTGGCTGGTCCCAGGAGGAGGAAGAGAGACGCACAGAACAAAGCTGACCCACCCCAGCCCGGCCTGGACCGGCTGACCCGCAGCCTAACCCCAGAGGTCGGAGCTAAATCAACGCTTACTGCTGAGCGCTGCTGAGGTGACGTGGTTGTTCCTTACACAGGATTTGGTGGTAACACCTAATAATACAGCTGCACGTGCTCATTCAGTCAAAACTTAGTGCGTTTCTACCAAGTGTCGAACACTCGTGGCGTTAGGGACTCAATGGTGAATGAAAAAGATTTTTATAGATAATAAAAAACCAGCATAAATATGCACTCCAATACCCGGGAGGAATGAGTGCTACTGACGCTGGGCAAGGGGGTGACAGTGATGGGGTGATGCTGCTCTAGGGCGGTCGGGAAAGGCCTTTCTGAGGAGGCAACGTGTGGACAGAGACCTGGATGAATGAAGTGAGAGACCGGTCAGGCAGAAGGGTGTTCTCGGCGGAGGAACTAGCAGGCGCAAAGGTCCGGAGGCAGGAAAGTGCGTGGAGTGTCTGAGGAAGCAGCCGGGAGGCCGTGGGCAAGGGCAGGAGGCTGCAGAAGGGGTGGCTGGAGGGATGCCACGGAGGAGGCCGCATGGTGCGGGGCCTAGCGAGGGCAGGCGGTGGAGTCACCGCTTCTCGGCAGCCTTGCGCCAGGGCAGGCTGCCCGGCACGTCTGAGCCCCGAGCCAGGACGAGTGTTTCTGCCTGGTTTCCGGTGTTCTGTTTTAGATAGAAACGGCCGGAGCACGCAGGAAAGCGCAGTAGAACCCCAGGGTCCGTCAGGATGCCAAAGCCCCTGGCTGTTGCATTTGGAACTGGTCCTCTGGGTGTCCCCACCCTCGAAGGCATTTAAGATCAAAGGCCGGGAGGGACGCTCTGGCAGGTGTCCGGCGAGGCCCGCTGCTCTCTGCCATTCTGGCCTTTGTGGTTTACTGGTCAGCCACCTGGGGATTGCTCATCGGGCACACATGGAGCAGGGGCCAAGGTCTAGCTCATAACCACAGAGCCAACGTCCAGCCCACGCCCACAGGGCTAAGGTCAATCTTATGTACACCCACAAAGCCACGGTCCCCACCAGACCCATGGGGCAAGGTCTCCACCAACACAGCCAAGGTCCAGCCTGGACCTGCAGGGCCCCCGTCCATTCTAGGCCGTGCTGGGTCCTAGGAAATCCCGGGGAACAGCTGGCTTCCCCGGCTCGCCCACCTCTCTGGAGCAGCAGTGCGAGTCGAGTAAATGCCTGCTACCGCTGGGGCGTTTCCACGTCCAAGATTCAACGTCGGGGCCAGAGCACCCACAGGAAATGGGCCCTGCTGGCCCAGGGAATACACAGCGAGGGAGCACCATGCAGAACCCTCGCCGGGAGTCCCGGCTGAGCCCCAGTCCTTCTATCCCTGCGGCTTTCCCCTCCCACGTCCTGTGCTGGCCTCCGGGCCTGCCCTCCCTCCCCTCGCCCTCATTGCCAGGACTCATCTGGACAAGCCCGACCACAGCGGACCCTCAGCACTCTCCTTGGGCCCCTGCCGCCTGGAACCCGCTGTCTGCCCATCGCAGCGATGGTGGAGCTACCTGTGAAGGCGAACCTGTCCTCTTCCAGCTTCTTCTTCAGGTGTTTGATCTCAAAGTCCCTTTCCTTCAGCAGCTTGTACAGCCGCCCGTTCTCGTCCACCGTTTCCCTGAGCTGGTGGCGAAGCTGTTCGATCTCATCTTCCAGCACCCTGCAAGGCACAGGCAGCGTTACGGCCCCCGCCCAGGTCTGCCTGCCCCGCTGGGCACCAGGTGGTGATGAGAACTGGTCTGAACAATGTAGGAAGGGGAAATTAGGGGACCCTCCATGGGCGGATGTTAACACACTGGTTTCAAAATCGAGACTCGCTGCACACGAGCCACACGCACAGGCGCGCACACGTGAGAGGAGAAAGAAATCTGAATAACATGGTTTACTACGGATTCAACAGAGCGGGACGTAAAACCTCCACTCAGAGAATTCATCTTCCTTTTAAGCATCCATGGAATGTGTACAAAGGCAATCTTGGCAAATACCAAAGAATGGACATAGCTCTACAGACCGTTTTCCTTCATGGCAATTGACTAAAATTAGAAATCAATTCTAGAAAAAACAAAACGGCAAACCTATCATATGTCTGGAACTAAAAAAAAAACAAAAAACAAAAAAATCCCCACTCCTAAATTAGGTGTAGATTAAGAAGAAATCCTAAATGCATTATCCAGCATTTAGAATGGACGGACTACAGAAGCGATAAATATCACAACTTGTGAAAGGCAGATAAAGTGATGCTTAGAAGGGGATTTACAGTATCATTGCACACACGTGCTAGAAGACCAAACAGAATTTGTCTAAGCCTTACGTTGAGGCTACGTCTCCAGGTTTTCGGTAAACCTGACAGAAAATCGGGTGGGTGGGGATTTTGTGTGTTATAAATTGTCTGCAAGGCAATTTATAACGGAGCGTCTGCGATCACTTCCATTGTTACGAATGGGACAGGCTCCCCAGCGACAGCTGCTCGGAAAGTAAATCCGTGATAGAAGTTAAAGGTTATAGAAATTATTGCTGTTGCTGTTAATCCACCAATGGCTCAAGTCTCCCTCGCTTCCAGGTTCCTGATTTGGGGGAAGGTCATTTGCCAATAGCTCTGGGGTTAACGTGGAGCTAATATTTAAGAGCCAGATGAAGTTTCAATTATCGGGAGGTCTTCTATTTTTTTATCAACTAGCATTTTTAGTAGAACATTTTGAAAATTGAGAAACCATAAACCGTAGAATTTGAAGGTGGAGAAAAAAAGATCCTGGGTGAAGCCAGACACAAAGAGGCAGCTCAACAACTGCAGTGATTTTTATGAAAAATGACAAACAGAGAATTTTGTGTCAATACAGACTCCTGTATAGATCAACATGCATCCGTGGGACGTCGAATTCGGAGCAGAGTGAGAAAGTTATGGACTCTCTTCGACTTTTCCACCAACTGTAAAACCGCAAGGAACCCGCCCAGAGCTTCTTCAGCACAGCCAGCCTTCTGTGATGCTAGGCCAGCAAAGGGGCACTGCCCGGGGAACAATCCCAGGTGGGAATGGGAGCGATGACTGTCGATGAACCGATGAACCATGAGAGTTAGCCAACCAGCTCCTCAGAAACCCAGACCCAGTTTCCATGAGAAATGACATAAGAAAATCCAAGTGAATAGACTACACCCTGATGAGTTCCAAGATTTCAATTAAACTTTAAGTGGTTTTTAAGTACATTTCCTACCAATTTTGTCCGCAGACCTACCAGACTCTAGAGCAGCGGTTCTCAACCTGTGGGTCGCGACCCCTTTGGTGGTCGAACGACCCTTTCACAGGGGTCGCCTAAGACCATCCTGCATATCAGATATTTACATGACGATTCATAACAGTAGCAACATCACAGTTACGAAGTAGCAACGAAAATCATTTTAGGGTTGGGTCACAACATGAGGAACTGTATTTAAAGGGCCAGAAGGTTGAGAACCACTGCTCTAGAGTGTTCGATAACAACCTGTGCCAATAACCCTGCGTCTCAACTTACAAACGCATATGCAGTCAACCTGACGGCCCAACTCTCTGCTATCGGTTCTCGCCCACCTCCCGACCTCTTTGCGGCGCTCCGGGGAGAGTTCAGGCGTGCATTTACCGCCGCTCAAAGCCGCTTTGCGAGGTTTGCTCCCCGGCTTGGAGAAGGCTGAGGCCATCGAAGACCTCCACGGGCTCTTCCGGGTCATCGTCTCTGCTGTTGAGGCTCAGTTCCTTTTCCTTCTGTTTCTCCATCTGCTTCTGTAACCGTCTGTGCTGCATCTCCTGCATGGCCTGGAACTGGAGCCGCAAGGTGTCCTGCGAGCCTTCCTCCGCTGCCATCTTGCCCTGGGAGGAGGAAAAGAGGAACCTCACAAAACGCACATTTCCCATGAGGGCTCAGTACACAGTCAGCGGGTCTGCAGCCCCCAACCCTGGAGTTAACTGCTTAGCTTTGCATGTGGCCACGTGGAAGTTCAGAAGACGCACCCCCACCCCCCACCTCAATCCCCTGGAAACCAAAGTTGAGCTGAGCATCCTCCTCTAGCCCTGACTCTGCCCCCCAACTGTGCATGGCATCAGAAGACTCCCCATCACTCAGACTCAACGCTTCCCCCTTCCTGTCCCTAAAACGGTGGCTCTCCACTCTGGCCGAACATTAGAATCTCTCAGGAGCTCCCAAAATATGACTTGGGCACATATTGGACCAATTAAATCCCAATTCCTAGGGATGGGACTCAATCATGACTTTCAAAAGCTTCAGTAGCCCTGACCGGTTTGGCTCAGTGGATAGAGCGTCGGCCTGCGGACTGAAGGGTCCCAGGTTCGATTCCAGTCAAGAGCATGTACCTTGGTTGCAGGCACATCCCTGGTTGGGGGTGTGCCGGAGGCAGCTGATCGATGCTTCTCTCTCATGGATGTTTCTAACTCTCTATCCCTCTCCCTTCCTCTCTGTAAAAAAACCAATAAAATATATTTTTAATAAATAAATAAAAGCTTCAGTAGATGCCCGTTAACCCCAAACCAAGTCCAAAGGCACCAAAGGCTTTGGGGGATTTGGCCGCAGTCTCTCCTTCCAGCATGCCTTCCCCCTGATAATGCCACCTCTAGGTCACCTTGCTCCTACACCTCACAGAAAAAGTCTGGTTAGCCTAAATTTATAACAGAGTCCAACTTACTGTTTCTGTAAAGGGCCAGATGGTAAATATTCTAAGTTTTGTGGGCCAGAGGACTCTGTTGCCGCTGTGTTGTGCCATTGCAGTGAAAAGCGGCCACAGACAAGACGTGAGTGGGCGGGTGTGGCTGTGTTCCAACAAAACTTTATTATGAAAATAGGCAGTGGTCTGGATTTGATCTGTGAGCCTTAGTTTGCCAAGCCCATTTGGAGGAATTTCACCTGAAAAGGTGTCTAGAGATGGAAGAGAAGCGGGGGCTGGCCCGGGAGCGGGAGGACGGGGACAGTGGCGGCCACCAGGTGGCGCAGTTCCCGCTCCACCCGCGCGCGGGCGCGAGGCCTCCGCAGCAGAGACCAGAAGAGGGCGCTGGAGGTCAGGCGGACCCGAGTTGGCCACCGGCTCGGTGGCTTCGGGCGGGTGACCTACCCTGGGAGCCTCACTAACCCCAGTGCCGCGCGGAAATCAGTGCCCGGAGAGGGAGGAGGCGGTGCGTGAGGATCCCCGGAGCCGAGGAGGCGTCCTCGCTCTGCGTGGGGCGCGCAGGGAGCGGCCGGCCAGTGTCTGCGCGCCGGGCGAGCGTGTGCGCTCCGGCTCCGATCCAAGCCCCCGGGGCTGCGGGCTCCCCCGGCTCCGGCCCGCGCCCTTGCGCATTCCCCGCACTTACAACGGTCGCTCCGCTCCTGCTGTCCGGGGCCAGCGCAGCGGGGCCACCTCTTCCGGACGCTGCTCGCGCTGCCCCGGCAACTGTCGCCAGGGAAACCGAGCTGCAGCGCCCCGTCACGTCACCACGTGGCCCAGAGGGCGCCGGAAGTTCGGAAAGTGACAGCGGCCCGGGGGCCCGGGTGCGGCGGCGGGGTAGGTACGGAAGGAGGCGCGGGGGGCTGGGGGCTGGGGGCGGGTGTCGTGTGCCGGAGGCTTGACAGCGGCGGTCCGCTTCTGGGCCGCGTGTTCTGATAGTTTTGTGGACCAGCCGTTCTGCGCAGGGTGCACATTCCGCAGTCCTGCGGGGGAGTTGAAAGGGGGACGGCCCCACCTTGAATGTCTTTGAAAAATGTTTTTAAAATGTGGGGGAAAGGTCATGTTGTGACGGTGAGTGAAGCAAGTGGCCGACCCCACCTTGACTGTCCTTGAAAAGTGTGGGGGAAAGGTCATGCCCTGAAGGTTGTGTTTTTTAAAATGGGGCACAGAAAGCAGGACCGGGAGGGACGCATAGAAATAGTGAGAAAGAGTAATTTCATGTTGGTGTTGGAACTGCAGTGCTGTGTTCATGTTTGCACTTCAGAGGAGTTTAAATATAACGGATGTGGTTTATTTTCATAGTAAAAAACTCTTGTGGTTTGTTTTTTTTAAGGCACTTCCCAATTTAAGTCACTACTATATTCAATTCCATCTGAGGGTGGGAGGTAAAGTTCTAGGAGAGAAGATCCGAGGAAGCTTTCTGAATATTTACTCAGGCTTTTATAATGTGAAAACCTTCAACTATCTCATTTTTTTCCTTCGCTTCCGCCTCATAGACATGCACAAAGATGCAGCGCCAGACCACTCGAGCTGTACAGTATCACAACCAGAATGCTGACATTGACACAACCCACCTGTCATACTCAGATTTCCCCGTCTGACGGGTATTCACGTGTGTGCAGATTTAGTTCCATACAGTTTTATCACACATGTCCGTTTGATCGCCAAAGTGAAGAGAAGACTCTGAACACTTAAATCACAAGGATCCCCCCTGTCGGGCTTTTACAGCCACACCCACTTCCCTCCCCGCCCCCCCTCCTTCACCAAGTCCCTAACCCCTGGTGATTGCCAATCTGCTCTCAGTTTTTAAAATTTTGTCATTTCAAAAATGTTTTGTGAGTGGAATAATATAGCGTGTAACCTTTTGGGATTGATTCCCCCCCCACCCCCCAGGATAATTCTCTGGAGGTTTATTCAAGTTGTTGTATCGATAATTTGTTTCTTTTTATTGCTGAGCAGTTTTCCGTAGTATGGATGTGCCCAGGTTTGTCTAACCTTTCACCCATAGAAGTACTTCTGGGCTGTTTCCCGTTGAGAGCTATTACAGATAAAGCTGATATGAACGTTCATATACAAGTTTCTGTGTGAACCTACCTTTTCATTTTTCTGGAATGCCCAGGAGTACAGTTGTATGGTAATCACATGTTTAGTTTTACCAAAAAAGCAAAAACAAAACAGCCAACCTGGTCTGTAGAGTGGCTGTACCATCTTACATTCCCACCAGCAATGTGTGAGCGTTCGTTTCTCCGCGTCTTTGCAGTGTTTTTTATTTTAGCCATTCTGATACCTGTGTGGTGACATCTCATTGTGGTTCTGACATTCATGATGGATAATGATACTGAACAGTTTTCTCATTGTGCTTACCTGCTATCTGTATATCCTCTTTGGTAAAGTGTCTGTTCGTGTCTTTTCACCCAATTTCTAATTGTTGAGTTTTGAGAATTCTGTATGTATTCTACATACTAGTCTTTTGTTGGGTATGTGGCTTGCAAATTTCTTCCCAGTCTGTAGCTTGTCTTTTAATTCTCTTTGCAAGGACTTCACGGAACAACTTTCTACATTTTTATTAGGCCCAGTTGATCAGTTTCTTCCTTTTTTGGTGTCAAGTGTAAAAACTCCTTGCCTAGCCTTGGATCCCAAAGACTTCCCTGTCATTTTCTAAAAGTGCCAGCGTTTTATGTTCATGATTTATTTTGATGTGACTTTTGCATAAGGTGTGAGATTTAAGTCAAGTTTTTGTTTTGTTGTCTACGGATGCCCAGCACCATCTCTTGAAAGATATCCTTCCTCCATTGGATTGCTTTTGAACCTTTGTCAAAAATCAGTTGAGCAGCCCAGCTGGTGTGGCTCAGTGGTTGAGCTCCGACCCAGGGGCGTGCAGGAGGTCACAGTTCTGTTCTCCGTCAGAGCACATCCTGGGTTGCAGGCTCAACCCCCAGTAGGGGTGTGCAGGAGGCAGTCAATCAATGATTCTCTCTCATCATTGATGTTTCTATCTTTTCTCCCTCTCCCTTCCTCTCTGAAATCAATAAAATACATATTTTTAAAAAATCAGTTGAGCAAACTCAACAACAGCAATAAAAAAACAATTGGAACCGGTTAAAGGACTTGAATAAACATTTCTCCAGTGAAAATACACAAATGGCCAAGAAGCACATGAAAAAATGCTCAACATCACTAGCCATTAAGGAAATGCAAATCAAACCCACAATGAGCCAGGCCAGCATGGCTCAGTGGTTGAGGGTTGACCTATGAACCAGGAGGTAACAGTTCGATTCCTGATCAGGGCACTTGCCCAGTTGCAGCTTGATCCCTAGTGGGGGGCATGCAGGAGGCAGCCAATCGATGATTCTCTCATCATTGATGTTTCTGTCTCTCTCTACCTTTCCCTTCCTCTCTGAAATCAATAAAAATATACTTAAAAGCCCTAGCTGGTTTGGCTTAGTGGATAGAGCATCGGCCTGTGGACCAAAGGGTCCCAGGTTCGTTTCTGGGCAAAGGCACATAACTCGTTACAGGCTCCTCCCAGGCCCAGGCCCTAGTAGGGGTGGTGCAGGAGGCAACCAATCCGTGTGTTTCTCTCACATGGATATTTCTCTCTGTCTTTCCCTCTCTTCCACTCTGTCTATGAATCAATGGAAAAATACCCTCAGGTGAGGAGTAAAAATAAAATAACATAAAAACCACAAACTCACAATGAAATACCACTCCATATTTAGCAGTTTTGTCTCAAAAAGGAAGTAAGCTTTGCTGCATCTTAAAGCTAGGCTCCATAATTGGACTTGGTCCTTGGACCAGGAGTTGTCTCTTGAGGCTAGACCTACGCCAGTCATGGTATTACCCAGAACACTAAGTCACCAGTTTACTTTAGGGGACAGTGACCCTTATCCAGAGCCCCTCCCTTCCGGGAATCAGACACACAAGAAGCCAAGAGTTACCAGAAGGATATTGTGGGTACGAATTCAGAACAAACAGAGGCAAACTGCCTTGAGATATTTTAAGTCTTATTAAATATGCCTCTTCTTAGCCGGGGGCATAAAAATTGTTCCTTTTTTCCAGGTTCAAGTTCCCGTGGGCTGGAAGGTGCTGGATACACACTGTCAGTTCTGCCTCTTCAACTCACCAAGGATTTGGGCTTTTGTTGGCCATCAGCGTCTCACTTCATACCACTTCAAGTCTTATTTTACCCATGGAGCTATTTTGTCTAAGATGTGTTTGTATATAGTGTATGGTGATCTCATTCATCATATGTTGATTTTGTTAGGAAACTAAATGTTCTGCCAAGACTCATTAGTCTTTATTTAGTTCCAAGAGATCTTTCCGATGAATGAGATCTACCCTGGCTCTGCTTCCAGCTCTCAGCACAATGCACTGGTAATATCATTTATATTTGCCCCAAACTTTCTCAATTTCACTCTTGGTTCAGATCACTCTTGGTCTTTTCAAACACATGGATGGAAATCAGCTGGTCTCAGTGATCATCCTTTTCCCCTACTGATTAGGTCCCCAGTGCCTTGTGTACTTCCTGGCTTTTCGTTCACCTCCTCCAGTCAAGACCATTTGTATATGGGAATCTCACCTTCCTTCTTATAACGGCCAAAACAAATATTGGCAGAGGATTTTCATTTATGAAAAAGAAAAAATCTGAGGATAGCCCTGGCTGGTGTGGCTTGGTTGGGCATCATCCCATACACCTAAGGATTGCTGGGTTTGATTCCCAGTCAGGGGACAGGCCTGGGTTGTGGGCTTCATCCCCGGTAGGGGGCATGCAGGAGGCAGCGATTGATGTTCTGCTTTCACATCTATTTCCTCTCTTCCTCTCTCCTCCCTTCCTCTCGCTAAAAATCAATTTTTAAAATCTTAAATAACAAAAAGACCGAGTTTAAAAAATTTTTGTATATGGGAATCTCACCTCCGGGCAGTGCTGGGCACAGGGCTCTGGCATCAGCGGCACCGCTGTAGGAAGGTGGCAGAACAGAGGTGAAGGACCTAGGTTTACAGTGTTGGCAACAGGGAGAGGAAAAGGACAAATCTGAATGTTGAGAGACTTTGCTTGGGAAAAACTGGCAGGCCCTGGTGACTGGTTTCATAGTGATAAGTGGCAGGAGGAAGGAAAGATGCTTGAGTTTGAGCCCAGAGTGTGACCGTGGGAGCCGGAGGGCATCGCTGACACATGGGTGAGCTAGGACGGAGCACCAGTGGGGAGGACCCTGGGTGTGGCTGTAGACAAGCGGAGTGTAGGTCAGAGGGCTCGAGCCGGAAGGTGAAGCAGCTCAAAATATTCAAAAGGACCTATTCCTACATTCCTCTGAGGGGCACATGGACGCTGGCCTCCACTGTAGACCCATTTATCGCTACTGAATTTAGGAGAAAACTGCACGTTTGTCCTGCTAGAAACAAATTATTCGGCCTCATTTCAGTGACTAAGACTACAGCTAGGATGCCTGGGCCGTGCTGGTTCTTTCGTGAACTTGTCCCAGATAAGTCATTCACTGAGAAAGTGGCAACCCCGTCAAGGCTGGTACATGTTCCATTTCTCAAATTTCTCCCTTCTATTTGGAGAACTTTCAAACAGGATCAAGTATATAAATAACTGGCAGTCCCAGTACTTGACACGTGAGAACTTTAAATACCATGTGTGCATTCGGCTTTGTTCTGGCCTAGTAAGCATGTTGCCACAGGCTGTATAGATTTAGAAGAGCATTGATCCTAAATTTCAAGTTCCTTTAACTCTCTGAGTAGCATTCCCTCAGGCATGGCCTAATTGTCCAATCCTCTACTCCAAAATTCTGATACAGAAAGGAAGGTCCTTTGAGGGTTTATCTAAGTATGGAGTCCAATTCTGATTCTCATCACCAGATGTTACTGTTGCTTGCTAACTAGACATAGGTAACTGCTTTGGGGACAGCAGGATCCTGAATGTGAAAAAGAACACAAACCTATTTATTCTAATTAATTCAACAAAGACTTGTTGAACACCTATATGAGCCAGGCACCAGCCAGGTGCTTTGGATGAAAAAATTACAGACCAGTGGAGGAGAGGCACGGAACCACCCCGCACCAATGCCTCAGTAACACACAACAGGAAGCTGAGGACTCCAACTCTCGGTGACAGATCAGCAGACCGTCGCCTAAGGCAGGACATCGTTTCCTCAGGGATACCGTCTGCCACCAACCCTGGATTAGGACCCCCAGCCCAAAGTCCCTGCTGCATCCTATACCCAATACCCACCATGCTTTTGGTCACCACTTATTTAATGCCACCCTCCCTACTAGACTGTGAGTTTTAAGGGCAGGGCCCACGTAGCTCCTGTGCCGTTGCATCCCCAAGCTTTACAAGGGTAACAGCACCAATTGGCTATGACTGATGCATCAGGTGCTATGCTCAGCCCTTTATATCCACCATTGCACTTAATCTTCCCAGCAACCTCTGTCATTTGTCCAGATCGTTTTCTTTCAAATTAGTATTTATTTTCACAAAATCAATAATATCTTCATCTATTAAAATGACAAATTTCTGAAACTTGTTCCCAATTTTTTTCTTCTACAGAAACAACTGTTAAGACTGCCTATAAGCATCTCCTATAACATCTTTTTGAAGTTGATTAAAATTCCTAATAGCTTATATTTTAAATCACTTTCTCACAGACCCATAAATGATCTAAATAGTACCATAAAAATTACCTAGACCAATCTCTCACCTCACAGCTAGGAAAAGATTGAGAAAACCGACTTGGTCCAGGTTATACAGTCAGTGGTGAGCCAAGACCATGCCATAACCTCATTTAATTTTATTTATAACAAATAAAATTAATGCTGCCAAAATTAATGCTGCCACTCCAGCATTAATTTCACAAAGGCCAACATTTCAAGTCTCTAAAACCGGTTGGCATCTACCACTTGACTATACAGGTTCCAGTCCCAAACCTACATCCTTCTCTAGCTATGCAACATTGGTTCGTTACTTAAACTATTCATGCCAAAGTCCTCTATGAAATGAGTACCACAGCTCCTAACGCTTAGGGTTGTTAGGAAACTTAAATGACATTATACTTAAAGGTGCTTACAGCAGTGTGTAGCACACAATAAATGTTAGCCATTTTTCCTGTTTGGTAAATATTCTTTAACCATGGTTCTTACCAAAGGTACAAAATGCTCTCCCTCATTTCTGGAAACTTTTTAAATTTTTAATACATTTTTTAGGGTTGATAGTTTCACAGATATCTCCCACTTCCCCCATCCTCCAGGTCTTCACTACCCTATTGCCCATGTCCATGGGATATGCATATGAGTATGTAAGTTCTTTGGTTTATCTCTTTGGAAACTTAATTTTTATGCTACTTTGAGGAATGATTTATTTTTCTAAATTGAAATAAATACAAGACATTTGACATGTTCACTTACTTTAATAACAATACATTTACCATGTTATCACCATGGAATGTAATTCAGGTTAGAATTTCACAAGTGCAATAAAGCCTTCTGTAGTACATCAAAGTTTCTGTATAATGTCTTTCCAGAGCTTGCTCTTGAATCAGTCATCATTTCCATTATAGGTATTTGTTTAGTTTAACATTTATGATTCTTACAGAGAAAATGAACATACAGCAAATATTTAAAACTGTCTTTCATTACCTTTGTGTTGGCACTTAAAATACATATATCTATTTCAAAGTGACATTTAAAAATTATTCTAATATAACAGCAGCAAAAATATAATTCTGCAATTAGAAAAGAGCTAAACTGGGGTCCATAATTATTTTACATTTACAAGTGTGACTCTAAAATAAATACTACCTTCTAGCAGCTATTATCAGCATGTTAGGTTTGGTTTAAACACACACGTTCAGTTGTGGGGAGGTTTGTAACATTATATGCCATGCACTGTTCTGAAAGGGTTCGTTAAGAGCCAATCAGCCGAGGCCGGTTTGGCTCAGTGGGTAGAGCGTCGGCCTGCGGACTCAAGGGTCCTGGGTTCGATTCCGGTCAAGGGCATGTGCCTGGGTTGCGGGCACGTCCCCGGTGGGAGATGTGCAGGAGGCGGCTGATCGGTGTTTCTCTCTCATCGATGTTTCTGGCTCTCTATCTCTCTCCCTTCCTCTCTGTTAAAAATCAATAAAATATATTTAAAAAAAAAAAAGAGCCAATCAACCCTAAAAACTGAACTCCTCATTCAGTCCACAAGGCAGGCAGAATAAAGTCAAAGTAACTGGGGCAAATAGGATTCCTACATAACATCAAAAGCATGTGAGATTCTGCAGCAACTGGGAGTACTTCAGGATTGGCATGTAGTTCTTGCTTAGAACTAATTTCACCAGAAGAGTTTAACAAGGTGGACATTTTACCACGTCAAATGCATTTCTTATGTGCTAACCTGACTCCCCTGAATGACCTAGCTAGTGAACTAGTCACTAGTAATTTAGTCACCTGGGAAATCAAGCCTGCAAAAAAGGAAGCCAATATTCAAATTAATGTGTTATTGTCTGACCCTCTCAAATGATTATTTTCAACATAAACATATAACCTCAATATGAGATGTCTAACTATAGCAAACACCATCAAGACAGCATCTCTTCTTCTATGGTTTAGGTTTTGCCCAGAATTCCTTATACATGGAATAGCCCATACCTTAAAAAAGGAAAAAAAGAATGCTGGTTAAGCATTTAAAGATATTTTTTTCAATATTAAGAAAATTAAAAATGGCTCATAAAATAGCTAAAAGTAGCACCTTTGCTTAGCATGCAATTTTTTTTTTAATTTATTGCTTAAAGTATTACAAAGGGTATTACATATGTGTCCATTTTATCCCCCCGCCCTAGACAGTCCCCTATCCCCCAGTGTCTTATGTCCATTGGTTATGCTTCTATGCATGCTTAGCATGCAATCTTTATAAAGGGAACAAGACCCCCGGTTGCTTACCTTCTTGCCTTCTTAAACAGTTTAAATTTCTAAAATTCCTTTTACTTTCCCAAGTAGCTTGAGGCTCGTATGGACTAGCTTAGACTGTTTAATATTTATCTGGCAATTTAAAAGGTACTGCTCTTGCTACATAATACCAGATAAAGTCAATGAATCATAAAGCCAATAAAAGCATTTAATACCTACATTTAAAAAATCTCTTTTATCTTCAACTCAATAAAACAGCAATCATAGGTCTCTTCCAGAAAATGGATCTTACTTCCAACCCTATGCATATCTAGGCTCTTCAGTGAAATTATAAACTCAGTGATGGACAGGATTGTCTTTCTTCCTTTATTTTATAACCTTAGTAAGTGGGTTTACAGTTGTGAGTACATTCTTGTATTATTATTTATTAATGATTGTGTTATTTTCCATATGAACAACTATAAACCTACTTCTGCCCCACCCTGTATCATACACAGTAAATTTATGTCACTATTGAATTGAACTATTTTTAATCACTTTTCTAGGAAAACAAATATAAGTGATATCTGAAAAGTGCTTCAAAGTTAGCTAAAAGTATGTACCTTGTTTTATTAACAAAGAAATTCATTAATGGGAAACCACAAATTTGAAATTTCCTGTAGGTACCTACCAAGAGTCATTGCTCCCACAACAAAACCTTGGGCTGCCACACGCATGTGGATCAGGTGAACGGACATTTTAGTATTTCCCCTGTTTTTCAGTTTATATAATCCATATGCAACAATTGCTGCAAAACCCGCCATTCCTGAGAAACAAATAGTCACAATTATGTCAGATACATGGGGACAGGGAACCAAGATGATTTCACCACCAATCAATGTACTTTCTACTATTTTATATAAAAACTAGTGGCCCAGTGCACGTGCACATTAAACGGTAATTATTTAGAGGAAATATTTTAATATTGCTATTTGCCCTTTTTCTATAATAGAAGTGTCAGAGATGAAAGGAAAGAAAATTAGTAAAATGTATATGAAACTCTCCCTCCGTCAGAGTCTAGAGCATACCACAGGACCCAGAGTCAAGTCCCTGCCCACCCGCACTTCAAAATCCTGCAAGACCCAGACCCGGCTGGCCCCACCCCCCATCAAGCCCTGCTGGGGTAGGGGGCGCGGCCTCAGATCCCCTGGCCTGGCCTCAGGCCACCCGGCCTCAGGTCCCCCAGCCCCAGCATGAGGGTGCGATGACCATTTGCATATTAGCTCTTTATTACATAGGATGCTTATGAGACCACTAATTAGCTAATATACATGTTGTATTTTTAATTCCCCTACTCAGAACCAAAAATCCTGAGATGGTAGCAAAAAGTAGCAGACTCATAAAGTTAAGATCTTCAAAATGTGGGCTTGTGAAGCCAGGAGATAAATTCCTTTAAGAGAACCAGGAGAACTCTTCCTTTCTGTCCTACTTCCCTCTCTAAAGGGAATCAATTAATATAACAGAGACTGTAATAAACCGTAACTGTGAGTAGAACAGCTTTTTTAAAAAAGCCTCGTGAGAGGGGAAAAGGAGACATAAGCAATACTTTCAACAATAAAGAATGAAAAAACAAAAGATAAGCCCTAACCGGTGTGGCTCAGTGCATAGAGCGTCGGCCTGCGGACTGAAGGGTCCCAGGTTCAATTCCAGTCAAGGGAATTGGTTTCGGGCACATCCCCAGTAGGGGGTGTGCTAGAGGCAGCTGATTGATGTTTCTCTCATGGATGTTTCTAACTCTCTATCCCTCTCCCCTCCTCTCTGTAAAAATTAATAAAATATATTAAAAACAAAAAACCAAAAACAAGATAAGCCTCTTGAGTCCTTCTAGCAAACCACAGAGACTAAGGGGGTCCAGGCCCCAACACACTCACTGAAAGAAGAGTCAATAAAGCAAGAAGTCTGAATACACACAGAAGCATTTCTATAATGATAGTTATATGCCAATCTCAGCATATTTCAACCACACCTGAAAAAAATTTGAAAATAATGCTTATGGATGTATTTGACGAATCGATCACACTTTGATTGTGTCACAGCATACAATAGACTGATTATCAGAACGTCAAAGCCAAACTTACCAATAGGGACAAATGGTGCCTCTTTAGCTTTTCGGATAAATTTAGATCCCTGACCTTCATCATATGAAGAAAGAGAAACATCTGTGTTGGATGACATACTGATTGAAGAATCTTCCTGAAAGAGAATTTCCATGAGGTTCTGCAATTAAAAGCAACTAGAATATTAAATGACTGGATGTACTTAAAATAATCCTAGTTTCCATAAAAATCTGGTATATCCATGAACTCTGAAAAACATTTTTAGAAGTTTCTCCATACACCAGTTCCTTTTTAGCATGTCACTGTTCATAACAGTGCATTTTTTTTGTCTTTTTTTGTTTGTTTGTTTTTTAATTAAATCTTTATTGTTCAGATTATTACATTTGTTCCTCTTTTTTCCCCCCATAACTCCCCTCCTCCCAGTTCCCACCCCACCCTCCGCCCTCACTCCCCACCCACTGTCCTCATCCATAGGTGAACAGTGCATTTTTAAGTTTTGTCAATTAAAATAGTAGCTATTAATTTTCTGACTATCTTCATCCTTTTTAAAAATTTTTCCTTACTCAATTCAACTTGACAACTTTAAATTATTCAAACCAAACTGATACTCCTTATTGCCTCTTCAATATCATGGTGAAAATACTACTAAGCACTTTTAAGTGTAGCTGAGTGTAGTCTTTACTGCTTTCAATCACAACTGGCTGACTTATTCCAACATGCTACCCGGCTTCAGTTCTCGCCTCTGAATAGTTTCCAACCGATTACACTGATCTTTATTATTGATGGTGGCTGTCTGTGGGGAAGATTACAGTTATTCTCATTAGCCAAAATTTCTAGACTCATTGTTTACACCTTTTAAGGACAAAGCTTTTATTTTAATATTATTGCTAGAAATGTCTCCTTTTAAACATAACTATGTTCAACTGAACTAATATAGATTTTTATAACTTAGGGTTATAATTTTTTTAAACAATACTGCAGCATAAAATCAAACTATACTCTTTTATAATAAAAGAATATCTCTCAAGCTTTAGCTGTCTTTTCTACATACCTTATATTCCCTGGGCTTCTTAAAATTCTCTTTCTTTTATATTATTATTCTTTTAAATAATATCAAAAAAGGCAAGATATTGGCCTGACCATTATACAAATAAGGGGGCAGGAAAAAAAAGATTATTTTCAATTATCACAGGGACAAAAGGCTCCATTCTCCCATTTCAATCATCTTCCTTTACATAGTGAGTTAGCAGGCGTTTCATTACAATGAGGTAATAAATTCAGTTTCACCTTAGTCGCAGTAACTGTATACACTTCCTTCTTCCCCAATCTGATTTGAACTGCCTATAAACTTTACCCACAGATAAAATAAGGGAGTCAAACAGAGTATATATGTGCACAAGTCTCTGATTGGTGTCAATTACAATAAAGTCGAAAGTCAACTACCCATGTGAAATCTTACCTTCACTTCTGGGCGCTTCCTGTGCATTATACTCCCTTCCATAACAAGAGCCCTCATCCAACACTTTGCTCTTCGAGGGTTGTGAGCGTGGCTAAGGCCCTCAAAGAAAACCCAACTTTACTACTTAGTTTGAAAAGTGAAATCATCCCTCCAGGCCCCATCTCCACCGGGAAGAGGTGATTCTGTCATCTGACAGGAAAGACAACTTAATCCAGAGGAGTTACGCAGTATCAGAGATGAAAGAAAACTCGGATTACAACTAGACTTTCTTTGTACTCCGTTATCTGCTAAGTGACTAAACCCCTGCTTACTGAGCTTTTTATTACCATATACAAGGTTCAACAAGCTCAAGGTTCAGGACGCTCACTATATTACCTGAAGAGATAACATAAACACAGAAATGACTAGTGGTTCAAAAATTAGATTTAAAAAAAAGGACATGACAATGTGACTACTTGTCAATAGCATAACAAAGACAACGGGAACTGAATTACAGTGTGGTGTCTTTTAGCTAAAGTAGGTTTGGGAAGTTTCACAGAGAAATATTTGAGGATGGTCTTCAAGAACCTACATAAATGGACTAGATAAAAATTAAACACTATTTATTTTAGGCTACTATGTCTATTAGTTGCCTTTATAACTAATCATGAACTTCTCAAATGCATAACTATTAAACATCTTATAGATGATCTCTATACCTCCAGCCTTTCAGAAGCTGACGCCTCGAACACTTTTCCCTTTTCATCTCCTTCATAGCTGACTCCTCTCATTTTCCAGCTTCTTACCTTAACTGACCTCTAGAAAGTCTTCTAAAGGTGTTTTGGTTATGCAGTCTCATCGAAGGCTATGTTTTCTCTATCATAACTCTTTCTTATAAAAGCCTATTTAACTGCTTCTTTTGCTAGAATCCTTGAAGTCAGGAGGCCACACCTGTCCTGCTTGTATCTATTTCCAATGCCTGGCACGATGCTTTGCATGTAGGAAGTACACCACAAAATGTTGAATACATTTAAAGGTAATATATTTCAACGATTAAAATTATTCTCAGGTTTAATCAGTTGGTAAGAAGAATGCTGAACCATATATATACCTTGTGTTTATATGTATTTTAATTCTTATATTTTATCTATGAAAGGAAAAAAATGGTTAACCTCAGTAGGTCTTGGCTTCTTGCAATCACAAGAGACAAAACTATTATATACCACAATCTACTTTTAAAATCTAGCATCTTCTTTTGCAGCTATAAAAGCATGTTTCTTCCTTTGCCTTAATTATTCCTAAACTAAGAAGTCATTTGGGAATTGTCTTTAAAAGCAAGAAAGTAGGTCCTGCTGGCATGGCTCAGTGGTTGAGCGGGGACCCATGAACCAGGAAGTCATGGTTTGATTCCATGGTTTGAGTCCCTGTCAAGGCACACGTTGGGGTTTGGGGTTTGATCCCCAGTGTGGGACATGCAGGAGGCAGCCAATCAATGATTGATTCCCTCTCATCACTGATGTTTCTATCTCCCCCTCTCCTTTCTCTAAAATCAATAAAAAAAAAATATTTTTTTAAAGAGCAAGAAAGTAGGTAGTTTTTGCTCTACACTCTCACATCTGGATCACTAATTGTCCACGGGCAATGGAGCAAAAGCCTCCCTCCTCACTCTCCCCCTCCCCCCCAAACCCCCATCCTTTCAGGAGGGAGAGGGCTGAGGGCTGGCTGTCTAAAAGAACAGAAGAAAATCCACTGACTTCCATTCCTCACCTATGATACAGACTCTGAAGTTTTGTTTTTTGTTTTTTTTTTAAAATATATTTTATTGATTTTTATACAGAGAGGAAGGGAGAGAGAGAGAGAGTTAGAAACATCGATGAGAGAGAAACATCGATCAGCCGCCTCCTGCACATCTCCCACTGGGGATATGCCCGCAACCAAGGTACATGCCCTTGACCGGAATCGAACCTGGGACCCTTCAGTCCGCAGGCCGACGCTCTATCCACTGAGCCAAACCGGTCTCGGCCAGACTCTGAAGTTTGTGTGGGAAGGATATTTCATCTGGCTTTCAGAAAGTAGTCCCTGGGTAAGAATCATATGGTCATTATTTGCTTTAAGTAACTAGATTATCTGTCTGATCCAGGATACTTTGTGTGAACATTTCAGGATAATATTAACAGAAACATTAAAAATCCAACACTTAAATTATACTTTATACTGTCTTATAAATTCTGTGTTATATTTATAACACTCTGAATATAAGATTTTTATAATTCTTTCTGATTACCACCTAGAAGTTTCCCAAGTATTCATGATTTATAGCCACCTAAACTGAACATGGTTAACATTTAAAGTACCATTTAAAGTAACTATAAATCATATAATTTGAAAATAACAACTCATGATTAATGCGAACAGCCTTATTTTACAGATGGAAAGGGGGTTAGGAAGGCTTATAGGAACTGCTCAACAACAGGCATACATTTCTGGCAGGGTGGGACGAGAACCAAGCTCTCCTGACAGAGTCCAGGGTTCGTGTGATTAACAATATATTACCAAACCACCCATCTTATGCTGGTATATTTTAATCTGGAAAAATACTGAAATCCATTCCATAACAGAAGTCTGCATCTCTTTCCTTGAATTGTAAAAAAGTATGTGCATATATCATGCCTAACATTAAATGGAACCTTCTGCCCCAGCTTCATATCTGACAATTTCACAACTGTGATTTGAAAAGATGTATTTTCCACTAGCACTCCTAGATTCCCCTTATTTCCTCATCCACACACAGCAACTGACGCCGATTGCCACAGAAAGTCGAACAGGTGTGAAAGAGGCACTAGCAACCAGATGCTCAAAGCCCGTCTAGCAAACACGAAGCACTCTGTGGGCTGAGCAAGACACCACTCCCCCTGAAGACCTTTGCAAGTGCACAGGAACCTGGGAGTCTGGCGCAAGGGGAGAGGAGCTGCCCGGCCTCCGGTGACGCAACAGGCGGGCTGCCGGGCCTCCACAGCGGCCACTCGGGCCTCAAGAACGGCATCTAACAATCATCTCCGTTTCCGATTTTGCATCGGCCAGCTTGTCAGCTTGTGGAAAAATGGCTGCCAAGGCCCCACCCTGAGGACTGACTCCAGGAGGTGAGGACCCAGGAGAGTGCACTTGCAGAAGCTCCCACCCCCTCCAGTGACTGGTGCACGGAGTTAGGAGCAGCCCTGGTACGCGGGACTCAAACAGGTTCGTCACGCCGGGCCCGGTACTCCGATCCCTCGCTCACAGCTTTTCATTCAAACCGGTCCTGCTCCCAAGAGCCTTTGGCAGGATTAGTCCGGGGTGGGGGGGGGGGGGGCTGCTCCCCACACCGGCAATGGAGAGAAGGGCGAGTAGCACTGCCGAATCATCTCGGCTGCTCCCTTCCACACGCAGGCTGTGTTTTGTAATCTCTAACCGGAAGAGGTGCCAATTCCGTCCCAGATGCTTCAAACCCGGTCTGAGGCCTCGCCCCCTCCCGCGGGCCGGCGAGGGTCGCGGAGGGCGGGAGGGCACACCGGGTCCGGGGGAGGAGGAGGCGCGGACCGGAAGGTCGTGGGCTTTTACGCCCTCCTCTCCACCTTCTCACGTTCCTCGCCCTCGTTCTCCCCGTGACCTTGTCAGGACTCCATGGCCCGAGCGCTCGGCCTCCCGATCAGTTCTCAGCCGCCGCTCGGCCGCAGCCCCTCCGCGGGTCACTCCTGACGGTCCCATCCGAGAGTCCACCCTCCCGGCCACGATGCACTGCACAAACGTCTGCCTCACCTCCGCGTTGGCTCCGTCTCTCCTCACCCGACAGACAGGGCGTCAGGCCTTGTGTTTGGACCCCCGCCCCCCACCTCCCCAAACTCCCTGAACCACGCGGCCCGGCCTGAGCCCCCAACTATACCTCGTCCCCATTACCCCCGGCCTCGCCCACTCCCAGCCTCGTGGCCCCCAACCCCCTCAAGGTGCTCTCGGCACAGCCAAGCGTGACCCCACCGCCTCCCGCCCCAAATCGGGCGTCCCCGCTCCCAGGACCTCTCCACACTTGACTCACCAAATGCAACGGGACCGCTCACACTCTCGCCGGCTTCTGCCCCCGCCCGCGCGCGCCGTCGGGCCGGCTTCTCCCCGTCCCGCCTACAGCCGGATCCAGCCAATCAGAAGGTCGGAAGCCGCCGGTGTGTGCGTGCGTGTGCGCGGTGGGTGGGGCGGCCCAGAGCGGGTTCCCGATTGGCTGGCGCGCCGTAGGGGCGAAGTACCCGCTCTCGCGCGGGGATCTCGTCATAGGTGAGCGCTCCCGTGTGGGGTTTGCGCGGTGCTGCGGCCGCGGGCTCCCGGCCCGAGGGGACTTCCCGTTACTCTCGCCCCTTCCCCCGGGGAAAGGCGGGCCGGGTGTGCAGAGCCCGGCCGCCTCAAGGTCAGTTTTGTCTGAGCCGCATGGTCCGCGGTGTGAGAGCTCAGGGGGTTCAAACCACAGGACCAGCGATTTGCTATGGGAGGAAAGCTTTCCCCTAGAGCAGTGGTTCTCAACCTTCCTAATGCGGCGACCCTTTAATACAGTTCCTCATGTGGTGACCCCCAACCATCAAATTATTTTCGTTGCTACTTCATAACTGTAATTTTGCTACTGTTACGAATCGTCATGTAAATATCTGCTATGCACCAGGTATTTTCATTGTTACAAATTGAACATAAAGCATAGTGATTAATCACAAAAACAATATGTAATTATATATGTGTTTTCCGATGGTCTTAGGCGACCCCTGTGAAAGGGTCGTTCGACCCCCAAAGGGGTCGCGACCCACAGGTTGAGAACTGCTGCCCTAGGGGCAAGGTTCTTGTTTTCCCAGTTTTGCCCCTATTCTGGGGCTTTTTTGCCCTGGTGCGTTTGTGTACTTGGCCCGTGGTCCTTGCTCAGCTCATGACTAATTGCCTATAACGTGTATATCTATATCTGTAAATATCGATAATATCTATCTATACATGTCAATACAGTCTTTTGATTCCCACTATTTGCACACTTCTGTAAAGAACCCCCCTCCCTGCACCTCTCACTGCTGTGGATACTGATTGCCTATCTGCTTTCTCCCACTCTGTCTCTCCCAACAACGACTTAGGGCTATTTTTACAGTCCGCTAATTCGCCCAGAATGAGTGCCTCTTCTGGGAGGCCCTGCCATACTCAATGGCACTGCAAATAGGCTTTTATTGACTGATCTCTGGGCTCTCCAAGTCACTTTGCCCTCATACTGAGTGCAAAGCACCATCTGTTTGTCTCGATGGCTTAATGAATCGAGGCTCATAAAGGTGGCTGACATCTGAATTCGATCCCGTCACAGTAAGCACAAAATAATGGGTGGAAAAATCACTTGAATACCTCTGGGAGAAAAATGGATTATATGAAGAGTCACTTCACTCCACTTGATGGCCCTGAGGGTCTCCCTCTGTGCTGATGCTTTTGCCTAAGGACTGGAACCTACCTGCCCTGTTGTGGGAAAACCAGAAAAGAAAGGTTTTTCTGCCTGACCCAAGTTCACTCTGGACCAGCAGTCAAGTGCTAGCCATCAGAGTCCAGCCATTTTGCTTTATAAGGGCCAGGAAAGCTTTTTAAATGATGAGTGTTAAGTAACCACTAAAAAAAGTGAGCTAGTGTTGGGGTGGTGTGGCTCAGTGATTGAGTATTGACCTATGAACCAGGAGGTCATGGTTCGATTCCCGGTCAGGGCACATGCCCTGTGGGCTCAATCCCCAGTAGGGACAAGCAGGAAGCAGCCAATCAATGATTCTCTTTCACCATTGATGTTTCTATCTCTCCCTCTCTCTTCCTCTCTGAAATATATAAATACTAGAGGCCCGGTGCACAAAAATTTGTGCACTCTGGGGAGGAGGGGGGTCCCTCAGCCCGGCCTGTGCCCTCTTGCAGTCTGGGACCCCTCGGGAGATAACGACCTGCTGGCTTAGGTCTGCTCCCGGGTGGCAGAGGGCAGGCCCAATCCCTAGGTGCAGCCCCTGGTCGGGCTCAGAGCAGGGCCGATTGGGGAGTTGGGGCGCCTTCCCTTGTCATGCACAGAGCAGGGCAGATTGGGAGGTTGCGATGCCACCCTCAGTCACGCTCAGGGTAGGGCTGATTGGGGGGTTGGGGCACTGCCCCCTGTCACACTCAAGGCAGAGTTGATGGGGAGGTTGTGGCGCCACCCCCTGTCACGCACAGAGCAGGGCCCGTGGGGTGAGGGGGTTGTGGCCCCGCCCCCTGTCACACACAGAGCTGCAGGGCGATCAGGAGGTTTGGGCACTGCCCCCTGTCACACTGATCCCGGTGCCGGGAGGCCTCTCAGCTCCGCTGATCCCAGTGCTGGGAGGCATATTACCCTTTTACTATATAGAATAGAGGCCTGGTGCATGGGTGGGGGCTGACTGGTTTGCCCTGAAGGGTGTCCTGGATCAGGGTGGGGGTCCCCACTGGGGTGCCTGGCCAGTCTGGGTGAGGGGCTGAGGGCTGTTTTCAGGCTGGGACTGAAGCTCCCAACTGCTCCTTTTTTCCTTTTTTTTTATTCTGGGCCAGCTTTAGCTCTGAGGCTCCAGCTCTTAGGCCTCCGCTCCTGAAAGCAGGTATCTGGTTTGTTTCGGTTCTATAATCGAAACTCTGTATCAACTCCAGCTCTGAGATCCCAGCTGGCTAAAAGCTGGTTTCTGGGGTTTTGTTTAGCATCTATATTTGTTACAATGTTTGAAACTGCAGGCTCAGAGGCTGGCAAGGCAGGCGGGGAACGTTGGTTTCCTCCATCACTGAAGCAAGCAAGCCTCATGTTAGTTTCAAGCTGCCTGCTGCTGGCCGCCATCTTGGCTGGCAGTTAATTTGCATATCTTGCTGATTAGCCAATGGGAAGGGTAGCGGTCATACGCCAATTACCATGTTTCTCTTTTATTAGATAGGACTAGAGGTCTGGTGCACGAATTTGTGCAGTAGTGGGGTCCAGCTGGTCCACCTGATGGGAGCCATCGGGAACGGGCTGGCCAGGGCGAGGGTCCACGGGTGGTTTGTTGGCCAGGACTCTGCCCTGGATCAGGGTGGGTGGGCCCACTCAGGGGCAAGGCCAGCCAGGGGGAGGGGCCATGGGCATTCCGGTCGTTCTGCCATTCGGTCAATTTGCATATTGCCTTTTTATTATATAGGATATATATTTAAAAGCGAGCCTGTTACCCAGCACAGTGTGGCTGATCAGAGAGAGATCACTGGCAGCGAGAGGTGTTAAGTGTATTGTCCAGATTGTAAATTCCCTAGAAACTGGATGGGCTGTTGCTTAAGGGCAGTTTACCAATAACTTAAAAAGACCACCTTTTGTTCATTTGCTCTTACATTTAGCTGGGATCTGGAATCCTTGTGATCCCTGGGCTGTAGTGAGTGAGCTGTCCACGTCCTCCCCTTACCTGCAAGTATCTTAAGCCAGAAGCAAGCAGAACCACATGCAGCTATCCAAACAGCCCTGCCAAAAGGCATTAGGGGTGAGTTTATTAAATGTTTAACCAAATATAGCATGCTAGTTTTTAAGTTGATACTTTTTTCTTTAAAAAAATATTTTTATTGATTTCAGAGAGGAAGGGAGAGAGAGAAACATCAATGATGAGAGAGAATTTAAGTTGATAATTTTGTATGGTCCCTTGAATGATGTTATACATATCCAAATGGTCCGGCTGGCATGGCTCAGTGGTTGAGTGTCAGCCTATGAACCAGGAGGTCACAGTTCAATTCCTAGGTCACAGTTCAATTCCCTGTTAGGGTACGTGCCCAGGTTTCGGGCTCAATCCCCAGTATGGAACTTGGAAGAGTCAGCCTTTCAGTGATTTTTCTCTCATTGATATTTCTCTCTCTCTCTCTCTCCCTCTCCCTTCCCCTCTTAAATCAACAAAAATATATTTTAAAAATAGTGACATTATCAAACACTGCAAAGATGTGGAGAAGTGATTGTTCATACATTAGCGGTGGGAATGTAAAATGGTACAGCCACTCTACAGAACAGGTTGGCTGTTTTTTCTTGTCCCAGTCAGAATACTATTGGGCAAAGCATTCCCAGGAGAGGGGAACATCAAGCCACCTGATACTGGCCAATTAGAGAAGGGACAGAGGAGATCGCCCGTCTGCCCCTTAAGCAGGGTGGAAGTGTGGGTGAGCTTTGGATGGAGAGAAGGGGAAAAGAGATAACGGTCAGTCAGAGGGCCACAGAGTTTGGAATATGTAAAATACACTATTTGATCAATGCAGAGTACATATTGAGAAGGCTGTAAACCTGGGCTTTGGTAGCAGCGAGGCACAGGGAAATTGCTGCCCATATGTCCACATAGGTGTGTCAGACTTAGAGTTTTCAAACAGGAAGATTAGCTCACGAGGTGCAAACAAGTCTTTGTACTCTAGGCGGTAACCCTATTGAGTGGATGACTAAGGCAATCCACCTATGTGACTTACCAGGTCAGGGGAGAAGAAGGGAGTGGTGGACCAGGAGTGACGGGCAGTTCTGGGTGGGCCAGCGTGAGTCACCCTCCCCAGGGTTAATACCAGGAGATCAGGCCAAGGGCTTATGCGGCTCATTTTCTTCACCTTTCCCCAAATTCTAGTTTTGTCAGTTCTCTCATCCTCTGACTTCTCTGAGCGGGGCGTGGAGTTGAAATAGCTCCAACTTGATAGATAGGGACCCTGGGGTCCAGAGAGGAGAAGGGACTCGCCCTTATTCCCGCAGCATGCTGATTTCAGAGTTGGGATTAGAAGGGCCTCTTGGCTACCAACCCCTTGCACTTTGTCCTCTACCAACAAGGCTTTCCTCTCTGAGTCTTCTCCCCATTGTACCAACTAAGGCAAAAGGGACACAGAATGGGACATGGCAGAAACTTGAAGGGGTTGTCCCTCAACTGTGAAGTGCCCCAGGGAACGTAGGGAGAGGCAGGAGGAGTTTGGGGGCAGAGGTTTGTCTTCCATGACCCTATTCTCAAGAGAAAGCCGGTTTTAGGTCACCTTTTTTTAAAGGTAAACTCCGAAATAACAAATTCTGTGACCCTTTCATAGATTTCTTAATATTTTATTAAACAAATACTGGGACCGCTTTAAATGTTTTCTTTGTAGCACCCCTTTTAAATAGCTTTTTTGAAGTTTGTTAACTTACAACTAGGTCTATATATCTCTCCCCTGATGAATGTGATGAGGACTGACTGTCTCAGTGACTCTCCTCTGATGACCACAAGGCCATCGTGGAGGGAGGCTTAGGTTGTATCCATGCATCAAAGGAAGTGTGTAATTTCCACATATAAAGGGTTGCAGGTGTTGATCTCTGACCTCTGGCCGATGAGCACTCCTCTACTTCTACAATGCAGTCCCTACAAGTAAAAATCTTGCCTTTATTTTTTAAAAATATTTTTATTGTTTTCAGAGAGGGAGGGAGGGAGAGGGAGACAGAGATAGAAACATCAATGATGAGAGAGAATCATTGATTGGCTGCCTTCTGCATGTCCCACACTGGGGACCAAGACTGCAACTTGGGCATGTGCCCTCCCTGATGACCTCTCCTGGGTCATAGGTCGATGCTCAACCACGGAGCCACCCCAGCCTTACCAAAATGCTGCTTTTATTTTTATTTTTTATTTTTTATTTTTTTTTATATATTTTATTGATTTTTTACAGAGAGGAAGGGAGAGGGATAGAGAGCTAGAAACCTCGATGAGAGAGAAACATCGACCAGCTGCCTCCTGCACACCTCCTACTGGGGATGTGCCCGCAACCAAGGTACATGCCCTTGACCGGAATCGAACCTGGGACCCTTCAGTCCGCAGGCCGACGCTCTATCCACAGAGCCAAACCGGTTTGGCATGCTTTTAGATTTTGTCTGTATCCCCCTCCCCCAACAATTTGGCATAGTCAAGATATGGAGCAACCAGACCCCCAGAAGAGCAGAGATGTAATGTAGGATGAATTGATAAGTGCCCACCTGGTGAGATCCCGTAGTGTCTTCCTTTTGTGTCCTCCTCCCTCGCCTTCCACGACTGGTGATGCCATATCTAAGTTCTGCCCCTGGGCTGGTTTTCTTTTCCGAAAGTCTTTGTTGCTTCAGGCAGGCATCATAAACTAAACCTGTTTAACTGTCTGGCCTCTCTTGCACCCCTTCCTTCTCAGACCCCTCAAAATCAGATGTGCTCTAGTTCTCTTAGACCAGATAAATGTTCCACAGATGTTCCTGTCTGGGTCAGGAAAGGAACTACAACTTCCCCTGAGTCAGTTAATTTTAAACATTTTGGTCCTTCTTCTTCTGTTTAATTTAGGATTCGTGTACCAGAAAGAACCCAAAACTCCAGAGATTGATCCTGGGACCATAGTTTCCTGAAATGTTCAAGGAAGAATAAAGGAAACGCTCATCATGGCCACACTGAGTCAGAGATCCATGAGAAAATGAGGCCTAAAAAGTAAAAGGCTAAATCCTTAATTGCCCCCCAGGAGAAGTTGGAAAACCTCAGTAAGTATGTTGGTAAAATTCTTTTGGGGAAGTTTTTTATGTTCCTGTAAAAAAAAAAAACAACAATAACCCTGGTAGCACAATATCAAGCCTTCAACCTTTAGAGGGGGTGTGCCAGTTGTCACTTAACGCCTCCTTATTCCAAATCCACCCTTCATTACTTTTCTTGTGATATTAGAACATTTCATTGCCAGCAGGCTCAATTGTTGTCAGTAGGGGGTGCTAGAGGGCACAATTCATCCATGTGAGCAGGTGGTGTCCAACCATGGCCTCTGCCTATTAAGAACCCCAGTTGTAGGGGACTCTTGCTTGCCAGGCAAGGCCCATAGTATTCTGCCTGCCTGCCAGCCTCAGCTTCTGACTGTGTACCAGCTCTGGCCCAGATGACCCAGTGAACTTCCCTGTCATCCAGTGGTGGCAGTCACACCCCAAGAGACCTGTGTCCCAGCTGTAGGGAGGGGCTCCCTCCCACCCCAAGCTATTTCCTGCTTTGAGTACTTTCCCTCTGTCAGAGGGTATTCTTTAGAGTTCGCTTTTATTTCCTCATGGTAGTTCCCTTTAAATAGTTACTAATTCTTTTTATTAAACTTCCCTTTTTCAAACCATTGTGGTTACTGTCTCCTCACTGTCCTTTCATGGGCCATGATGCTGAAAACGCAGCACTTCTCAATTCATACTAGTCACATTTTAAGGGCTCAATGGCCATGTATGGCTAGTGGCTATTTTATGGGACAGTGCAGCTCTAAGTCATGGTTTGACACATACTTAATGCGAGTGATACTTTGGGGGACAGTTTTAAAAAAAAGAAATTGCATAAAAATATATTGGACTTAATTCTGTAGCTTTATTGATACTAGAGGCCTGGTGCACGCATTCATGCATGGGTGGGGTCCCTCAGGGTGGCCTGTGGGGATCGGGCCAAAACCCACAGTCCAACGCCACCTGCAGCTCCTACCTGCCACTCCCGCTCATCCCGGCCCCACTGTGCCTTCCGCAGGCTCGCGCCCAATCAGTCCCGATTGGGAGAGGCTCACACTGCCACAGCAGCACTTGTGAGCCCTGTGTTTGGTGCCCTCCAAAGGGGAGTGGCCTGCAGGACATCCCCTGAGTGGTCCCAAATTGTGAGAGGGCGCAGGCCAGGCTGAGGGACCCCACCAGTGCACGATCGGGGCCAGGGAGGGACCACAGGAGGGCTCCAGGATGTGTCTGGCCCATCTCACTGGTATGTGGGCACCAGGATAACATTGAGGGGTTGGTGCTTTGGTGGGAGGTTGTGCCCTAAGGCGTCTGGAAGAGGAGATTACTCTGACATTCAAAAGATACGTTATCACCCGAGGTCAAGGGCTTTGGTGGTCTCTATGAATTGTCTCCTGACTTACCTTGCTTGCTATTGGCATTTATGTAATTGTGGCTTGTCACCTTGTATCTTCCAGGGATGGTCTAGAGCCCCACAGGGTCATGGAGATGCTCAAGAGAACATCACAGGGCTCTTTCCATCTGGGTTCTTGGTTGAAATGGCTTGTCATAGACCCTGTATCCTGCTGGAACCTGTGTGTTGTATGTCGTCTAGGATGGCCCGGGCTGCAAAGGAATCCAGGACGTGAGTACTTGACAATGAGATAGTAACAGACAAGTAAGAAAGCTCATGGTTGAAGTGACATTAGTGGAGTGAATGCTGTTGATGTGGCTTGAGTTCCAAGATCTGGTGGGTTGTGGGATTGCAGCATTAGTGTTCATCTTGATCTTTGGAAAGGTTTTAGGCCGTGTAAAACTTGCTTGTTGCAGTTTTATTTGATTTTGCTTAGTGCCATAGTGTTGCTTCTAGCTCATCAGAGCTTTGGAGGTTGGAAGAATGTGTGGTTTGTAACTTATACAAATGTTGAAAAGGTTTTCCCATGAAATGAAAACATTAGTCTGAGTTTAGATGTGAGCCTATCTTTTCCTGGGGAAGAATGCATTTTTGGGAGTTCTTCTGTGATGGCATTTGCCTTCCAGTAGGGGTCGCTGTATACTACCCAGAGAAAAAGCTTAACAACTCAGACCCAGTGGATGGCTCCTAGTGTGTGTGTGTGTGTGTGTGTGTGTGTGTGTGTCCCGTCCCCCGCTTACCAGTGGCAGAAGAAAGGCGGTGCACACAACGAAAAGCTAATAAATAGGAAAACCCGGGGCCGTACCTCGCATGTTTTATTCTATCACGCTCCTTCCTCCAATTGTGCACTAAGATGCCGGATCTGGTGAGCAGGGGAAGGAAGGAGGGATCTGGAAGCTGTGGGTTGCCCATTTTAGTGGAAGTTAAAATAGATAGGACAAGATAGCAATCTGCTAGTGTTCAGGCAGCCTTTTCTATACAGGAACCCCATTTTGTTATTGTTCCTACACTGGGAAATGACGGGGTCTAGGGATTGGACAGGGAGGGTACTCATAAATATTTACACGCAGGACTGCTTCATCTCAAACATTTCTCTTTACATACGTCAACTGCTTTAACTTACTAGACAGAGCTTTCCCAGGCAGAAAAAGTCATGCTTATAAATCCAGTGCACCAAGCTCCTGTACTCAGAACAAAATAGCATTTGAGAAGCATTCCTGAGGTCAGGCTGTTTGAGTGGAGGGATGGTCAATACAGGGAAACATCAATTAACATTTCAAAACAATGCCTGCCCGCACCCCACCCCCACCCCCTTCCCCTGGCCCATTACCAGTGCGATGTGACCACTGTCTCTTACACAGATGTTCCCTCTACTTTTTGCCTTTTGTGTTCATCATAGCTTGTGTAACAGAGGAGGGGAAGTTGCCATTTAATTTTTTTAAGTGTGTGTGTGTGTGTGTGTGTGTGTATATATATATATATATATATATATATATATATACTTTTTTTTTTAGAAATATATTTTTTTTTATTGATTTCAGAGAGGAAGGGAGAGGGAGAGATTGAGAGACAATCATTGAACGGCTGCCTCCTGCATGCTCCCTACTAGAGATTGAGCCTACAATCCCAGCATGTGTGCTGACTGGAATCCAACTGTGACCTCCTGTTTCATAGGTCAATGCTCAAGTACTGAGCCACACCAGCCGGGCAAAAGTTGCCATTTTAAACAAGGCAAGGGTTCTTAACTTGGGGATCAATGATATAGTTCAGGGAACTCTGAGTGTGGATAGGAAGAAAGTTTACATTTTTATTTTCATTGGCAAAATTGGCATCTCCTTCGATTATGGATGTAGGCAACAAAAGACAGCAATATTAGCAGGACGTGTCACAGGTATCTTGAAATATCATTCACACTCATTACTTCAGGGTAGCTGTAAGATCTGTCACTAGATCTTCTACATGTGTTAATAATGGAATACATGTATTACTATAACATAAAGGTGTTTTAAAATAACTATTTCAGAATACATTTTAAACTTTTTGTTTTAAAATTCCCTTAAGATTCCCTATGTAACTTTCCCCTGGTTTCCCCCAATGGCATCATCTTGTGAAACTATAGCACATCACCACATCAGGAAACTCACATGGGCACAATCCATGGGGCATCTGCAGGTTGGCTATGCACTCTTTGGTGTACATATGTGCGTGTGTATTTAGTTTGATACGATTTTGTCACACGTGTAGATTTGTGTGATCACCAGGACTGTTCCATCACCACAAGGATCCCTCATGCAATCACCCTTTTATAGCCAGACACTCCCCATCCCCTCCCTCAGCCCTGCCATTTACTAATCTGTTCTCCATATCTATAATTTTGTAGTTTTAAGAATGTCAGAACATGGAATCTGTGACCTTTTGAGGTCTACATACTTTCAAAAGTATGTAACCTTTTGAGATTGGCTGTTTTTCATTCTGTATACTTCCCTGGAGGGCTGTCCAAATTCTTGTGTAGATAATGGTTTGTTCCTTTTGTTCTTGAGTAACGTTCCATGGTAGACACGTACTCAACTTGTTCAATCATTTGCTCACTGAAGGACATTTGGGTTATTTCCAATTCTGGGCTATAATTTGTTTTTAAACATATTTTGTTTTAAATGGGTTAAAAACATTGTTCTGAGATGGAATCCAGGGCTTTGCTACACCGCCCAAGGGACCCATTGGCACAAAAATGTAGTTGTAAAGGGGAGAAATCTGTACCTCCACCTTGTTCCCTTCTATCCAGAGGAGCTGGGTGGGAAGGGGGACAGGGAAGGGCAGTGTTTCAGAGCCTCGGCCAGGTCTTTTGTGCTGCTGGGGGAGACCTGGGGCAGATGGTCTGACATCGCAGCCACGTTACTGAGCTGACCTTCACGTAATGAGGGGAGTGGGCGGGGAGGAGAGGCAGAGGACGAGGACGGACAGAGGAAGAATGAGAGGGGCCCAGGCACATGGCAACCTGAAACCCCACCATTGTCCCCAACCTTAGGAATATCTGTCACACTCACCAATGAGTCATGTGAGTGCTTTTCAGGAGACAAAGTAGTGACCGCGCTGAGTCCCACACCTGGAGCTGCAGGGTCAGGGGACAGCTGTGGGGGGTGAGCTGTGAGTGGGTGGAGAATTGTAGGGAGGTGATTCCCTGTCAGAGGTAAGCCCATCCCATTCTGTGATCTCAGCTGACACTGAACTACATTTATTTCATTAAATGTGTCTGGAGGAGTCAGGATGCACACTGTGATGGCCATGGAGCGAGCATCACAGCCCTCAAGAACAGCTCCCTGACTGGGAGGTTTCAGGTGGAATTTGTGCTATCTCCAGCCCTATCTGGTACCTGGTGGCCTTGACAGAAGTCTAGTGGCCAAGTGTCAAGAAATGCCAGTAGTTAGGCAGAAGATGCAAGAGCTAGGTCAGTGATGAGCAAGAGTTTGCAGGAGGAGACCATAAGTGGTCAAAAGTAAGCCAGCCACCATTGTACAACCGGCGAAGAATGAATGGATCTGGGCATCGACCCCACGCACTTCCACAAGAAGAGCCACGACCAGGCAGTCTGTGCCTCCCGGTGCATGAACAGCTCTACCCACGAAGCATCAAACCTGAATCTGATCAGACTTCCAACTTCCATGAAACAGAGCGCAGAGAGGCGTGTTAGACCCGCCGAGGATGCGTTCAGCACACCCAGGCTGTGGGGAACTTTACATGCAGGGTGACGACTAGTTTCTTCAATAAGTTGTGAGGAAAAGCAAAAAGATGGAGGTGAGAGGAAACCTGTAGAGTTTTAAAGGTTTAAAAAATATAGCAACCACTCACAGTGTGTGGACTTCATTTGGATGCTGATTCAAACAAACAAACTTAAGGAAAAAATGGATGAGGCCAGTGACTGGCTATTTGATCATATTAAGGGATTAGTGTTAGCTTTTTTAGGTGTGACCATGGTCAAAGTTAATATCATTTAAAGGCACATACTCAGATATGTACAGATCACATGATATGATGCCTGGTATTTGCTTCAAAATAATATAGGAAGGGGTAGGTGGATGGAAGTGTAGGCGAAAAAGATGGGTCACTAGTTGATATTGTTGAATCGGATGATGGATGCAGAGGAGTTCGTTATACTGTTCTGGCGCTTTGAGGGTATAAGTTTGATATACCTCAAATGCAGTAAGCAACTTAATAAAACTACAGAATTGTCTGGTAAAGAGAGGGAAACGTCTGGATTTGGAAGGGGAGTGCAGTCAGCCAACTGGCTGGGGGTCGAGGGTTGGAGTGGAGGTATCAGGCAACCTGGGCCCTAGATAGACACTGGGGGAGGGCCTCCCGGATGGACAGGTGGGGTGGGAAGGTGAAGGGAGTGTCAGGCAAGGCTTCCAGTTCTAGACTGTTGATTGGCAGTAGGCGTTTCATTTCTAGACTATTGATTGGCAGTAGGCGTTTCAGTTTCCAAGACTTTGAAAGTGTTGAAAAGAAAATAATCTGAAGGATGAAATTGGCTGCAGCAACCAGGAAGCTCAGCCTGTCCACGCCTTCCACCCACTCCCAGGCTCAGCTGTGAACACTGCCAGAGAGTCATAAATAGCCGGAGGGAAACCATTGAGCCACTGGGCAGTAATGAGTGCAAGATCACTGTGCACACACCAGAAAGACAGTTTGCAAACTGGGAGCACACAAGCCAAAGCATGGAATGGAGCTCAGGGCGTGTTGTTATAAAGCAGCTTACACAGTGAGAAGGCAGTGACTCTTTCCTCTTCACAGTGACGGGTTGTAATACTAGGATTTTCTTAAATGACAGGGAATTGATCAGTGGTTACCTCTTTCTACCTTGGGAAACAGCTCAAGTTTTGCTCATGATGTTTCAGAGGTATGACCAAGGTCAAGTTAATCTTACAAAAGAACCTAAATTAACTGCTTGTAGGATTAAATTGGTTTTTTGTTTGTTTGTTTGTTTTTAACAGCAGCAGCTTCCAAAGCTCTCCACGATGTTGTCTTCTTTGCTTGGTACCTGAGGGGATGGCCAACTGCTGCTGCTTGCCTTCCCAGATGTCTGGCTGGCTGGGCATCCTGGTTTCCAGGCACTTGATGGAGACCGGATATCATCAAGTCCAGCCCTCTGTCACTGCTCTGCAGACAGGGAAGCAGCCCCAGGAAGTGGAGTCTTTGTGTACAAAAAGCACTGGGACAAGTCTCTGGTCAGAGGAGGTGATCTGGGAAGACCTTCTACACAGGAGCACGTGTTCACTCAGTAGCTGTTATTGAGTGTCTTACTGCTTGGCAAGTACTGGCTGGGCTGTGCTGGGAGGGACTCTCAGATGAGTAAGAAATAAGTTTTTTCCTGGAATAGCTAACTAGATCTGAGGTGGAGGGGGCTGGCTAGAGAGAAGGAGCAAAGAATTAAACAGAATATTCATGGACCTGTGGACAAGAGAGCACTCGGGTGGGGAGTCAGCAAGTGCAGGAGGCTCCTATCCCCTGTGTTTCTGGGAAGCGACTTTCCGTCTCTGAGCCTTGACAACCCTGTCTACAAAATGGGTGTGATCACTTCAGCTTGTCCTGACCCACAGAGGAGGCATCTGGAGAATGACTACAAGAACTTTTACATGTAAAATGTGGTTGAAGGTATTTTGACAAATGAATAAATATGTTGATTTTGAACACATATGTTTGTACCAAGGCAAGGGACTGGTGAGTCGTGAAGAGGTTGCAAAACCACCTCCCCCAACTTTAGCAGAAAGCACCCCCCGTCCCCCCAAGGCCCTCTGAGCACATATGGGCAGATGTACACAAGGAGAGACAACACATGTCAGGTGGCTGGAGGGGCCAGCTGGTGGGGGCGACAGAAAGGGGAAATGGAAGAGGTGAGATGAGCAACATTTGCTTCCTGTTGTGCCGTCAATGGAGCATGGGGGGAAGAGTGAGCCTGAGGTTCTGGCACAACATCTATTCAAAGCGAGTGAACACGGGCACCGGCAGAGCTTGTGAACCGGAGGGCACGTCTGTGGTTCAGAAACTCCAGTGTTAAGAGCTTAGAGATGAACCACACTGACCCTCTTGTGGGCTCAGCCCAGATGGGGTGACCTTTGCCCAAGGAAGATAGAAATGGAGAGAAAGAGACAGAGTGAGATCAAGGATGAGACGGGAGCCAAACTGGGGCTGTTCCATCAAAAAGCCAGTTTGTCGGGTGCCGGCTCGGCTATGGTAGCCCACTACTTCCTGCTCCCTGTGGGTAGTGCCAGGTCCTCCGTGCAGATGGACAAGGCTTCTGACCAGGAGGAAGTTGTGCTCTTGTAGGGAGACAAATTGACCCCGAGCTAATTCCTATACTGACATGGGAAGCTCAGAGCAGGGCATCAGAGAGGCCTAGAAAGACTGGAGGAGACGGGGGGCTTTTGAGGGGAGCTGGGCCGTGGAGTACAGGGCGGATGAGGCTGCAGGCAAAGGTTCACAGATTCAGTCAGTACTGCCTGAAGAGAGAAGCAGGTGTTTTGAAAATGCGATGCCACTTTTCACTGTCATAGTCCATGTGTGTAACATGTTAAAAATGTGTGTGTGTCAGGGGCATGTCCGAGTGGTGAGGATGTTGAAGTCTCTACTCTGAAGTTGAAGCAACCTCGTGTCCTGTGCATCTCGGGTGCCTGGTTTCAGAGGCTGGTCCATTCCCTTCCAGGGCAAACAATCCTTGCACATCTTTCCTTTTTAAAATTTTTTTTTTTCAATTACATTCAATATTATATTAGTTTCACGTGTACAGCATAGTGGTTAGACATTTGTATAACTTACAGAATGATCCCCCCATGAGTCTAGTACCCCTGATACCATATATAGTTATTACAATATTATTGACTATATTTCCTATGCTGTCCTTTACATCTCTGTGACTATCTTATAACTGCCAGTTTGTACTTCTCAATCCCTTCACCTTTTTCGCCCAGCCCTCAACACCCCTCTCACCCAGCAACCATTATTTTGTTTTTTGTATCTATGAGTTTGTTTCTGTTTCGTTTGTTCACTTATTTTGTTTTTTAGATTCCACATATAAATGATACCATATGGTATTTGTCTTCCTCTGTCTGACTTATTTCACTTAGCATAAATACCCACTAGGTTCATCCATGATGTTGCAAATGGTAGAATTTTATTATTTTTTAATGGCCAGGTAATATTCTATTGTATGTATGTACCACACCTTCTTTATCCACTCATCTGTCAGTGGACACTTGAGTCTTGTTTTCTTATTCATTCAGCTACCCTATTTCTTTTGTATGGAGCATTTAATATATTTACATTTAAAGTAATCATTGATAGGTATATAGTTGTTACAATTTTATTATTAATATTTATATCTTATTTTTTTTTTTTTTTTTTCTCCTCCTCCTCCTCCTCCTCTTTCCCCCCCCCCCCACCCCCTTTCTCTCTCCTTCCTAAAGAATCTCCTTTAACCTTTAACATTTCTTCTAATACTGGTTTGGTGATGATGAAGTTCTTTAGCATTTTCTTGCCTGGGGAGCACTTTTTTTTTTTTTTTTTTTGAGAGGGAGGAAGCAGGAGAGAGAGCTTGAGAAACATCTATGTATTGGTTGCCTCTCATATGCGGCTTGACCTGGATCAAACCCATAACCTAGGTATGTACCCTGACTGGGGAATTGAACCCATAACTTTTGGTGCACGGGACAATGCTGCAACCAACTGAGCCACCCTGGCCAGAGCCTATCTAGGGAGTCTTTATTTTTCCTTCAATTTTAAATGATAGCTTTGCTGGGTAGAGTAATCTTGGTTGTAGGTCCTTCTTTTTCATCACTTTGAATAGCTCATGCCAGTCCTGCTGGCCTGCAACGTTTCTGTTGAGGAATCAGCTGACAGTCCTATGGGATCTCCCTTGTAGGTAACTAACTGCTTTTCTCTCACTGCTTTTCAGATTCTCTGTTTGTCTTTGACCTTTGGAATTTTAATTATGATGTGTCTTGGTGTGGGCTTCTTTGGGCTCATCTTGTTTGGGACTCTGCTTCCTGGACATGTAAGTCTATTTCTTTCAAAAGGTTAGGCAAGTTTTCAGTCATTATTTTTTCAAATAGGTTTCAATCCTTTGTTCTCTCTCTCCTCCCTCTGGTACCCCTATGATGTGAATGTTGATATGCTTGATGTCCCAGAGGTCCCTTAACTATGCTACTTTGTTCTTGTTGTTTGATTCTTTTTTTTTTTTTTTTTTTTTTGGCTGTTTTGATTGGGTACTCTCCACTACCTTGCCTTCCAAGTTGCTGATTCAGTCCTTTCCTTCATCTATCCTGCTATTGATTCCCTCTAATGTATTCTTCAATTTCAGTTATTGTATTCTTTATTTCTGACAGGTTCTTTTTATATTTTCTACCTCCATTTTTATGTTTCCTGCCCTGTTGAAGTTCTCACTGAGTTTACCTATTCTTCCCCTAAGTTAATTGGAATCTTATGACCAGTGTTTTGAACTCTATCTCTAGCAGATTGCTTGCCATGACTATAGCAGATGAGCTGTTGTGGGTGGGCTGACCCCATGGAGCGGGATTCACTATTGCAGGGCTCTGGTGCCTGCTGAGTTCACCCTTTTGCTGTGTTGTTTGTGGAGCTAATCAGGTGGTACTCTGCTGTGGTCTGAAGCTGGTCACCAGGTGTGTTGGTTCTGGGCCTTTTGGGAGGTCTCCAGTGCATGCCCAGGGCACCTACTGCCTGTACCCAGTCCAAAGCCACCTGGTAGGACCTACAAACTGATCTTTGGTTGGTAGTTGCCTGTGCTGGGCTTGGAGATGCCTAGGATAGGTTCAGCTGTGAACCAAGGCCAGCTGCCACTAAGCAGAGGGTTGGGGGCTGCTTAGCAAGATGCACAGGGCATGCTGAAAGGTTTGTGTACCTTTCAGAGATTTTAGGGAAGACCACAGTGTGGACCGAAGCCTGAAAGAGGTTAGGGCCTGTGCACAAGGTGGGTGGACGGGTTCTCAGGGAATCAACAGGGTTGGATGAGTTTGATGGACACAGATTTGGTACCTGCATATCCTGGAGACTGTGGGAGGGGATGGCTCAACAAAGTTATAAATTGGCAGAGAGTGCTTCCCCTCCAGTCCTCGCCTTAAAGCCAGACAGTTCAGTTCCTCCTTGCATGTCCCTGGTGCCTTCAGGGCTGCTGCCCAGCGCTGGAGCTCAGATCGAATGAATTCCTCAGGAAGTAAGTCCATGGGAGGGCCCTTTAAGAGGATGCCTGGGGCCCCAGCAGCCCTTCATCTCACATGGATGGAATCCCTGCTAGTTTTACAGCCAGATGTGGGGACTTCTCTTTCCAGCACTGGTGGTCCAGGCTGGGGAGCCGGTGTGGAGCTGGGACTGCTCCCTCCTCAGGGGGCACCTCTGCAGCCCAGATACCCCTCCTGATTCTTAATTGACACTCCTGGGTGTGGAACCAGTTCATCTTATCTCCACCCTCCTACCAGTGTTCATGGGGCTTCTTCTTTATATCTGTAGTTAGAAGAGTTCTCTTTTCAGCTACTCTTCAGGTGACTCTGAAGGGTGGTTATTCTAAAATTTAGTTGTAATTTTGATGTGGTCATGGGAGAAGGTGAGCACAGTGCATGTATTCCTCCCTCTTCCTTGCACATCTTATAGACAGCAAAGAAGACAAGTCCCCCTCCTGCACGACCAGCTTCTCTTGCTGCTGTGCACTGGGCTATCTCTGCTTTTTAAAAACTCCTCACCAAAAATATGTTTATTAATTTTATTTTATCTTTAAAAGAAATTACCTGTATTTTTAAAAATATATTTTTATTGATTTCAGAGAGGAAGGGAGAGGGAGAGAGAGATAGAAACATCAATGATGAGAATCCTTGATCGACTGCCTCCCCCACGGCCCACACTAGGGATCGAGCCCAAAACCCGGGCATATGCGCTGACTGGGAATTGAACCGTGACCTCCTGGTTCATAGGTTGAAGTTCAACCACTGAGCCAACTGGCTGGTCATGTTTATCAATTTTAGAGAGAGAGGTGTTTGATGAGCCCTGGCTGAAAATTCAGCTTGAGAGGGGGAGAAAGAAACATTGATGTGAGAAAGAGAGATCAATGGATTGCCTCCCAACACATCCCAACCAGGGATCGAATCTTCAACCTAGGTATGTACCCTGGCCTGATAACGAATCTGCAACCTTTTGACGTACCTGGCCAGGGCTCTGCTTTCTTACAGTAAAATTCCAACTAGTGTGTTGGGGTCCAGCCCCAGCAGGTCCAGGGATTCCCAAAGGTGTGGACGGAGTTGGCGAAGAAGGAATGACACGGAGGCTCTGTTCAGTTGATCAGCATAGCGAGGTTCTTTTTTTATTGTCCTGTTATATCTATATTTATACTATTTGATCCTATAAGCATGCCTCTATAATCACATCATGGTATGTTTTGGGTAACGGTCTACAGTTCCTTGTTTCTTATCTGACCTTTGCCAAAAATCCTGTCTCTATCTAGTTCTATTGATTTTAATGTTGTCTAGGTTAATCTCTGTGTTCCATTACAAGGGCTATTTCAAGGTTACTGCTCTCCTGATAGGCTACAAGGAAGTGACTGAAGGAGATTATCCTACCCAGTAAAGGTTATGTCCTCCCAGCCTCGCTGCTTGCCTTCCCTGGGACTGCCCTGTGTCGGTGGATCTCCAGG